ATGTATGTAATGTATGTAATGTATGTAATGTATGTAATGTATGTAATGTATGTAATGTATGTAATGTATGTAATGTATGTAATGTATGTAATGTATGTAATGTATGTATGTATGTAATGTATGTAATGTATGTAATGTATGTAATGTATGTAATGTGTGTATGTGTGTATGTGTGTATGTGTGTATGTGTGTATGTCTGCATGTCTGCATGATTGCATTTCTGCCTCTGTGTATGTGTGTATGTGTGTATGTGTGTATATGTGTACCTATGTACGTATGTAGGTATGTAGGTATGTAGGTATGTAGGTATGTATGTACGTATGTACGTATGTATGTATGTATGTACGTATGTAACATCGTATGTATGTATGTATGTATGTATGTATGTATCTATGTGTGTATGTGTGTATGTTTGTATGTAATGTATGTAGTGTATGTAATGTATGTAATGTATGTAATGTATGTAATGTATGTAATGTATGTAATGTATGTATGTATTTAGTGTATGTAATGTGTGTAATGTATGTAATGTATGTAATGTATGTAATGTATGTAATGTATGTAATGTATGTAATGTATGTAATGTATGTTATGTATGTTATGTATGTTATGTATGTTATGTATGTAATGTATGTTATGTATGTGACGTATGTAATGTATGTAATGTATGTAATGTATGTAATGTATGTAATGTATGTAACGTATGTAATGTATGTAATGTATGTAATGTATGTAATGTATGTAATGTATGTAATGTATGTGTGTATGTGTGTATGTGTGTATGTGTGTATGTGTGTATGTGTGTATGTGTGTATGTATGTATGTATGTATGTGTGTATGTATGTATGTATGTATGTATGTATGTATGTATGTATGTATGTATGTATGTATGTATGTATGTATGTATGTCAGTGTGTATATGTGTATATGTGTATATGTGTATATGTGTGTATGTGTGTATGTGTGTATGTGTGTATGTGTGTATGTGTGTATGAGTGTGTATGTATGTATGTATGCATGTATGTATGTATGTGTGTATGTGTGTATATGTGTATATGTGTATATGTGTATATGTGTGTGTATGTGTGTATGTGTGTATGTGTGGATGTGTGGATTTGTGGATGTGCGTATGAGGGTATGTGTGTATGTGTGTATGTGTGTATGTGTGTATGTGTGCATGTATGCATGTATGTATGTATGTATGTATGTGTGTATGTGTGTATATGTGTATATGTGTATATGTGTATATGTGTGTGTATGTGTGTATGTGTGTATGTGGATGTGTGGATTTGTGGATGTGCGTATGAGGGTATGTGTGTATGTGTGTATGTGTGTATGTGTGTACGTGTGTACGTGTGTAAGTGTGTACGTGTGTAAGTGTGTACGTGTGTACGTGTGTATGTGTGTATGTGTGTATGTGTGCATGTGTGTATGTGTGCATGTATGCATGTATGCATGAATGTCTGCATGTCTGCATGTCTGCATCTCTGCATGTGTGCATGTGTGTATGTGTGTATGTGTGTATGTGTGTATGTGTGTATGTATGTATGTATGTATGTATGTATGTATGTATGTATGTATGTATGTATGTATGTATGTATGTATGTATGTATGTATGTATGTATGTATGTATGTATGTATGTATGTATGTATGTATGTATGTATGTATGTATGTATGTATGTATGTATGTATGTATGTATGTATGTATGTATGTATGTATGTATGTATGTATGTGTGTGCGTCTGTATGTATGTATGAATGAATGATGGATGGATGCATGTATGCATGTATGCAATCATACATGCATGCATGCATACAACATATATAATGTGTTTCTTTGCATCTTTAACTATGAATTCATGTTGATTTCTTGGTTATTCTACTAAATCTACTACTGAATACCTGTACTAAGTTCATGGTGATTCTTGCTTACTGCACTACGTTTGAGAACTATTTAGCTATTTTGGGACGCATCCGGTGTGGCTGGTTCTATCACCGTGGTCGTTGCTCAACTGCCTCAGGTTTTCTTAATATTTGGGCACATTCACCGACCGGGGGCAAACCCATGAAGTCAAAATCACCACCAGGCAAAAACGCGAATGGGAAACATCTGGAAACATATGGAAACATCAATCAACATCATAACCATATGTGGTTAGTATATAACTAACTACTAGAAATTGCTGCCATATCCATCCCCAAAAAAACCTGGGGCATCTCTCGCCTCCTTGGAGGTTTGCAGCTCTGTGAGTTGTGGCTCGCCTGCAGATCACCCAGTCGGGTAAGAGCCGTCGTGGGGATCAACGCCGCCGTCCCCCAAGCGGTTTATCACATTGATGATTTATGCTGTTTTAATCTGATTTATCTTGTGTTTTGCTGAATTTATGTTGATTTATCCCTCTATTTCGGATCATTTATAATTGATCTATCAGAAGCTCCCTGCCCCCTTCCATGGTTTTTCGAATTGGGGATGGTGGTTTTTCGGCATGACGCGAATCCGACCAGTTGCTTAGAATTTCCTGCAGATTTGGAATGATCTGGATGGAAAAATGTATGGAAAAGTCATCTATAACCTTTGGCGAATGCATGGTGATGAATGTCAAGAAAAAATATCTGAAGATGACAAGAATCGATTTCATTTTGGTGAAGCCTAAACTAACATAACTATGGAAAATCACCATTTTCAATGGGAAAATCCACTATAAATGGCCATTTTCAATAGCTATTTTGACATAACCAGAGGGTATCTTTGGCGGCATCCAATTCCACCGAGCCTCCGTCCAATGACGACAAGAACTGCACCCGTTGCGGCAGAAAGACAGCGCTTGCCACGAAGGGGGCACCCGACAAACGCCTGATAGATTGCGCAACATCCAGCATGTCAGGAAGTCAGGATTTGTTGAAGAACTCGTGTTTTAAATATGCCTATTTCAGTGAATATGGTTTGGTTCACCATCTCGTTTTGTTGCGATTCTTCTTGGGGCTTTGGATTGGCAGATTGGGCCGTGTTAGGACTTTGGATTGGCAGATTGGGGGGGGCTTTAGTTTTTCATATTCTTGCAAATTGCCTTTGACGTTTCCAATCACGTTGCCGTCAACTTGGCATGTTGCCGGCAAAAGATTATTCAAAAACCTTCATACACTTGTTACAAGGTGGTTCCCCCTAGAATAGCTAAGTTGTCTTGTATATCTAAGTGGAACCATAGGTTATGGATGGTTTGCTGCTAGATTCTGGATATTCTGGCACACACACAGATATATATATATATATATATATACCCTCGGGGACCCAGGTTCTCCGATGACCGCACACCGGGTGTTGCTCTGCTGCAGATGATCACGTTGTATCATGCTCCGCGACAGGGCGGGGTGGGGTGGGGGTAGGGGTGTATTATCGTTCATGGAATGTTGATCACGTTGTTGATGTTCCGCTGCAGATGATCACGTTGTATCATGCTCCGCGACAGGGCGGTGGGGGTGGGGTGGGGTGGGGTGGGGTGTGGTGGGGTGGGTGTATTATCGTTCGTGGAATTTTTCCCATCGAAGTGGCACCATGGCATGTGACAGGAGGTATTGAATGCAGGGAGCTGGAGTATATCAAACACTGGATGATTTCTGGTTCGTCAATCACTTGATTGATTTTGATGATTGTTCAATGGTGATAACAGAAATAATTAACGCTTACTTGATGATGATTTATTGGAATTACTTGGATTAAGAAAAGTAGTCGTTGGTTCATGCTCCATGGTCAGTGTATAATAGTGAACAATGATGATCCATTACTATGAACAAAACTAGCTACATGCATTCTTACAGCGAGTGACCGTTAACAATATCATTGATCATATCATAAATTACCACAAAAAAAACCTCGTCATGAGCACAGATGTCGAAACAAAAACAATATCTTGAATCCATATGGGAAATACCATGGAAAATTCACCACACATGAGTTTCGATTGGGAAAATACAATGAAAACACATGCACGAAAGATTAAAAAAAAAAAACATGCTGACCGTCAGGGTTCCTCACTTTCAAGCAACATTCAAATGTAGTGCAAATAGCATGTAAAATAAGGCTACCTTTATTCTGCTTGTGAAAACACAGGGTAAAATGAGATGTTTCAACATATGTTGCATACCATCGGAACGTATCTGTGCTGTATTTATAAGGGAATTTACAACTATACCCTCCTAACCCATATCAAGTAAATCACAACTTTCTAAGCGCTCAAAACGGACGAGATTTTGTTCATCCGTTTTGATGCCCAATTCAACGTAACAATGCTTCATGTCAAAATGCTAGTTTCGCTATGGCGAAACGCACATTTTTCACATGTTTGATCATCAACACCTATCATCTATCGGAGAACCTAGGGCCCCATCCGTATATATATATATATATATACAGTAATACACTAGTTGATGGGATTGATAACCAGCAAACATCACGGCACCCATGGCATCCAGTGGATACCAGTGGCCCCACCTGCAAATGGAGCAGTGACAAATGGACACTGCCGCTGGGTCACCTGTGGCTCGGGAGATCACCGCCTCAGCGGGCTTTTTGCGGCAAAAAGCATGTTGGTACGGTACCAATGACGACATATTACAAAACGATATATGGAAAAATGTATATGGAATATATGTTGGTACAGCATATTACACATTATATGGAATCTGAACTAAGGCAAAACAATATTGTCATATACTTGCAAGATCATGAAAGAACAAGAGCGGAAACAAATGCCACTTTCAAATGCTTCAAATCCTGCAGCATGACATCATCACTGCTGACTCCGAAGGCCCCCTACGCCGCAAAAGCACTTGGCTTCCCTGACCTGTCGTTCGCAGCTGGTGGCTGAGCAAACCCATGTCATAGGTAGGTAGGTCGTACTGACCAATCATCCCAAATAATATATTGAGATTGATATTGCTAAATCTTGCTAATATATGCTAATATCATGCCATATCAACAACAAATATATAGGTAGTCAGATAGATAATGATAGATGTTAGGATATTATGTTATGCATCGTTGCCATGTTGCTTGTGAGATAGCACTCAACAGAGATATGAATTTTCGTCTTGCGAACGCTTTGTAGCCATGCTCTGTGTGTCTGCATCTAACATGACTCCGGGAAAAATGGAATAAAATGGACCTGCCATGATCACCACCGCCATGCCAACTTCAGAAGGTCGGGGCCACCAAAGGTTCACATCGGGTTCCCCATTAATGGCCCCATTAATGGCCCCAAAAACGCTATGCTGTAGATCCGAGTCCAGCATCAGGGTCCAAGCTGCCTGGGCGGACTTGCTTTGGCCACTGGGCAGCCTGGCAGTGTCCTGGGGGCGCACCAAAACGCAGAGATTTGATGTGACCAGCAAACTTGGAACATTACCACCAATAAACTATCAGCTTGAGACCCTCTTTTTTTATGATTGAAAAACTGGCAGGGTTGGGTTCTCTCAACCATTTGCCTGAGAATAGGGTTTCTGAACATTTCTCGACCATCACTAATAGGTTCCCCCAAGTTGATGGTTGAGAAAGAAACAAAATCCCATCTTTTCCCTGCATATCTTGATGGATTTGTCAGGTAACATGTGTAGAAATGGGTTAACACCTTGTTTTGTTTCTCAACATCAACTGAGGCAGGATTATCATATATTATCATCCCCTCAAGCATTCCCAGGTTCTGAGCCAAACTCTTTGCACAAAATTCATCAAAAAAATAAGAGCTGATTAATAATGATATAAAATCATATAATACATGATATATGATAATAAATCATATAATATATGATAATAAAAGGCCATAAACCATATAAACCATTTCCAATAGTAGTGCTTTGTGACATTTTGTCCACGATTTCTCGGATGATTCATAGATTCGCCTCCGGCGCCGCGGCTTCCCGTGCCGCCGCCGCGGGAACCACGACGTCATGGGCCACGGCACTGCAGTTGAGGGTCGAAACCTGGCAAGGCCAGGGGTAACCGGGGACCCTCCGGAAATCCCAACTTTTGATGGAATATCATGGGAAAATTGTGGGAAAACCATGGAAAACCATGGAATAAATATGAACAAATGATAAAAAATGTGGGAAAATCCACTATCAATGGACGTTTTAATGGAAAAATCATCGAACTAAATAGATCTAAATGGCTGATTTTCCAGCACGTCATGTTTGATTAACAGAAGGTATATATTGAATCGATTTTGGATGGCATAGCTTCACCAATCATTTGGGATGAACACGAGTTCTAAGTGATATCCTGTAGAATTGGAAGATTTTATGATACCCAGAGGATCCAATGGTATATATGCTAACATAAATGGGGTATATTGATGGGATCCATGTTACCATATATAGCAGCACCATGGATCCGTCATGGGATAGATATCAGCATTTCTTTTCTACATCGCGGTGTTTTTACAATTTTGGAATCTTGGAGGATGTGGCAGGATGTGGGACAAAATCCGGGTTTACAGTACGTGATCCAATGGACTGGTTTGTTGTTTCCCCCGGTTGACCAGTCCAACCATTGAGATACTCGGGCGACAACTGCTGCACTAAACGATGCTATCACAGCCCACAAGTGGCTTTTTTCTCTAACAAAGTTGGACTGGTAATGGCATTTGAATTAAACTCATCGGGATATTCATAACATGAAAATGGGATTTATGATGATTTCTGTTAAAGAATTTAAACATAAATTTCCTCTATAACAGTCTAACATAATATCAAATAATCATAGAATAATCCCAAGAATCCAAGTCTTATCATCACCAATAACAATTATCAACCAGTAACAATTATTAATTACCCTCTGGTAAACTAACATAGCTATTGAAAATTGTCTAGTGGATTTACCCATAAAAAATGGTGATTTTCCATAGCTATGTTAAATTACCAGAGGGTATCCATTGGAAAACTGCGAATCAAACCATGCCCATTGGACCAACCCCACCTCCAGTCGAAGGATCTGATCTTTACGGCGGCCCCTGGATGATGGAGAAAAATCCATGAAAAAATAAGCCCATTACTATGTAGTTATACCATTAGTTATGATTACAAAGTCGTTATTTTACCTATTTTGATGTAGTTATTTTATATGTTGTGTTATCACAGGAAATTACTGTGCAAGCGGATGCTCTGAAGTTTGGGTTGTTATGTTATTGTAATGTATGTTATTATGTCATGTCCATGTCTTGTGATTACTTTTGGTGAGATCCTAAAAAGTAAGCCAACTTCGTCATTTGGGAAGCATGCTTGAAACTTGACAAAGTTGTTCCACGGAAGTTTTCAGGAGGATCGCGCTCCCCCAGCAAAATGGTCTAGGAAAACGATGGCGTCAGGGGGGAAATACTAAAAAACTCGGGTGCCACCCACCTGTTCAAATGGTAGTCGTAGGCCTTGTCGTAGTTTCTCAAGATCTCCTGTCATGGAACCAGTGGGAGCTGCATGATATGGCACCTTTTGGTTCCAGATGGTTCCAGCTTCAACTGGTTGATCTAGTTGGGGTGCCCCGCCTTGTGAAACCAATATGAGGGGGGCCCCGAACCACACCCTTGAAATTCCAATTTGGCATTTACATCCCCCTTTGCAGCTGTATTCTTGCATAATTATCTTAAATACCCTCAATATCGAGTGCTATACGTTTTCCATCCCACTGACAATATCTGTGGACTTTAGAAGGCCACCCGCCAACCCTCCTTCGGATGTTGCTCACACCTTTTAAACTGGCCTGAAGAACAAGTGGAATTGTTCAGCTTTCGATGTTTGCCTATGAAAGTTTGTATAGCTACTGTATTTGTTAGAAACTGCATTTTGAGCAGTTCAGAGTTTGTTGCTGCTCTTGTCTGTCTAGTGGTTTCCCCTTTTCTCGTGGGATCAACCAGCTAAGTGCTGGTTGAATCCAAATTCGGGGTGCTTCAATTTCCGCTTTGGTTCATGTCAACTCAACTTTTCCTTGGTTGACTCCCAAATTTGGCTGGCAAAACACCACACTTTCTTTGGTCCAAATGACTCATTTCATATCATCATATCATTTCACTGCATAAGTGTCCCAATTTGTCAATTTGTTCCCCCCCCTTTCTGCTGGTAGAAACTGGTTTTGGTGCCCACCACCTTGGTCCGGTCAGACGGGTCCCCAGCCTCGCAGACTGGGCGCAGCTGACCTTGCCGCAAAAGCTCCTGCAACTCGTCCGTGTAGCGATGCCCCATGCGGTGCCGGAAGTTCCTCGGCGGATGGATGGGATGGATGGGATGCATTTTGTTTAAGGAACACGAACCAGAATACTTTAGATGATTATTACATACTGTAACAGTACATGATGTTCAGAAACCTAGATGATACATATATACATATACATAATATATATATATGTTGAAAGATGCTGAACATGGTTCTTGAGATGATTCAACATGGTGAGGTAGGTTGCTTTGGTGAGTCATCAGCCAACCAACATCGATTCACAGACCATCAAAATGGTAAAATTGGGGGTGTGGTCCAGTAAGGTATATATCCCTCAATCATCCTCAATAAACTGGTTTGGTGTTTGCAAACTCAAACTCAGCTACAGTGAACATGGTGAGCTGCGAGTACTCTATACTTTCTAAAATGATCTAACGTGATCTAAAATGCACATAAAATAAGATATTTCAGTTTTCAGTGGCAAGTTGCATTTGCATGCATTTGCATGAAACATCAGTTCCCTGCATCTGATAATTCCAAGTCGCTCTACGGCTGAGCATAAGGCCTAGCTCGAAAGACCAGGGATCGACATGAATGTGGTCACAATCCGAGGCCTGAATATGAATAATATGAGCGCTGCATATGAGTCGGGGATCATCCCAATGGTTAATGAAACCACATATTTACCCTCTGGTAAACATTCACATAGCTATTGAAAATGGACCATAGAAATAGTAAATTTACCCATTAAAAATGGGGATTTTCCATAGCTATGTTAAACTACCAGAGGGTAAGTAATTTTCGTCAGTAAAGCCTGTCCAGTCTCCGTCCAGGTGCCTCCGCTCCAAAGGGCCCATAGAGCTCCAGAGACCGCGTGGCGCGAAGCGCAAAGGCCACGTCCAAATGGAGCACCAATGAGGCTGGCCGCGGTGAGATTTCAATGGCTTTCGTGATAAGATATGATATCTAGTTATCAAACAAATGCATACAATTTTGCACATTTATATCTATATATGTATGTAATGTGTATGGATTTTTGGTTGTTTTAGTTTTTGCTTGTTTGAATATAGTATATCTATTATACATATATATATATATACTGGCTTAATTGTGATCAGGCTGAAGATTATTTACATGTCATAATTGATCCGGGTAGCTTCTAAAAATGTAGAATTGTAGAATTGTACCATCTCAAGAAGTATCTGGACTCATAGGATGAAGAATAACATGTATTCTTATCATACCTCCACAACACTGGAACTCTTGAGTCAATTTCTAGAATCGAACATCCAGAAAAATTCTGGTGTCGGTGCGGCTTGTGACACTATGAAATCTATGAAGCTTTTCACAGGGGAACATCCTGTGGCTTCCCGGGCGGGCCCCGGCGCCTCCCCTCAGCCGTTGGTAGAGGGAGCTTGGAAGTACCTGAGGTCTCCATCGATCATCAATCCAAACATATGGGGGTGTCCTAAAATAGGGGTACCACCAAATCATCCAACATTCGACAATTTCATACAATTTTAGTATTCAAACCTATGGTTTTTGGGGATCCCCCATTTTAGTAAACCTTCATATCAATGGATATCATCTGGAAATCCGATAAGCTTTCCCTTAATCCAGTTTTGGGACTCTGGATGGTCCATGATGGAAGTTTCTCATGGAGATTCCCTCTGGTCGGGTTGGGCAACCTTGGGTCCCAAAATCATGTTGAAATGGCATATATATATATATATTTGTGTGCGTGCCAGCGTGTGTGGTTCATATTTATTTAGCCACTCGATGTTGGACCCGCCCATATACAGGCCACAAAAAAGAACAAATCCAATGCTATACTCAGAGTCGTTTTAGTGGAGTTTCACATTTACAACTAGGGGCGATGTATTCCACCGATCAGCCACCATGAAATGGAAGGGGCTAAGGCTAAGTCCATAGCGGACAGGTCAGTGGATGTCCCACACGGCTGGCCTGATTCTCCATGCCTGGTTCTAGATCCGAACTTACAGATTTTACAGAGAAATCTGGTAATGGAAATTGGGTAATCATGCAATAGTTAGTAGTTGTGCTGTTGCTATCTAATTATCTATCTAGCTAGCTAGCTATCTAGCTAAATATCTATCTATCCATCCATCCATCCATCCATCTCACTCTATCTCTATTTTGTTTTCTTCAACCGAGCACACTTGAGCTCCCGAAGGGTATATAATGACGAAGTGCATGTCGCACCCTTTGCGAACCATTAGAATCCCAAATGCAACTCCCAAGAACCAACAACCACCGGAGCGAAGACTTCAAGTCCCTTTTGCGCGACCACACAGGCAACAAGAAAGCAAGATCCGTAGGTTTGGTTTCAGGTTTACAAATCAGCCAGATCCGCTTGCAGCGGTTTAGTGAAATTGTTTCAAAAAAGAAAAATTGAAACACCGTGCTTTCCGACAAAAGCGATTACCAACGAAGTACCTCGAGAGGCCGAAGCCTTGTACATATATATATATATGTGTGTGTGTGTAAATATATATATATATACATATGTGTCTGTGTCACATACATTGCATAAATACATAAAAATAGTGTAAACTATGTAAAACTATTGCAATATGTATATAGATCGGTAATATATGGTGATATGGCCCTCGGGGCACAGCTTCACCAATGCGTGCGCCCTCATCCTGGAGCGGAGCCAGGGCATCCAGGGAAATCTCGAAGAGGAAAGCCCCAAGGAATGGTAAAATATGGACCACATACCCTCTGGTAATTTAACATAACTATGGAAAATCACAATTTTTAATGGGAAAATCCACTATAAATGGTCATTTTCAATAGCTATGTTAGTTTACCAGAGGGTACTGTGGATGGTTGCGAAATCCTGCACCAGTTGAAAACGGTGGTTTATCCGATTATTTCTAGGGGAAAAAACCATCCAGTGGTGCAGGATTTCGCAACCATCCACAGTATGTATATGAAATATGTAATTATAAGTCAGGGATAGTCAGGGTGGAATTTCATGGAATTACATTGAATTTCCAATTGCCAATGGCCGGCTTAGATTCTTAGATATCCAAAGGATTCCAAAGGGCATGCTTATCTGCACACAGCCTGGCCACATAACCGTCGCTGATGGTGATGACTGCAACCTGTCCCCGATTCATAAACTCGTCAATCGGAATCATTCACCATAGCGACACCATACGGGAACCAAGAAGGAGCACCGTCATGGTACCAACTTTTCATCGCACTTCAACCTGCAAAGATTGGTATGGGCGGAGTCAAACTGGTCTGGAATCGCACTGAGGGCAGGCAGGTGTCTTGCCCTTCCACAGCAACACCCCATGAGGGTTTCGGCTCCTCCAAATAGACCCATTTCGAGGAGCACAACTTTGACCACTTAATGGCCAAATCGTTCCTGCCGAGCAGAACGGGAACAATGCCGGTTGTGGATCTTCAAAGGGTACGTTTAACTTGAGCTTTGTGGCGGTGCATGTTGTAATGTGTAAAACATGGTCTTTCCGCGCAGTCCATGTTCTACTGGATCCCGCATGCAGTTGGGGAACTTCACATTTCTATCACAGTGCCAACACAGGAGTTGTGGCTCAAGATGGCCCCAAAGATAGAACTGACCAATCTCTGACCTCTGGCTGCGCCGAAATGGATAAAATGGATGAAGAGAATAAAGAAGGCTCATCACAATATTCATCAATATCTATCCGCATATGGGAAACTGGACATGGGGTTTCTGAGAAAATGTGCCGTCAAAGATGTTGGTTTACTAGCATGCGAGGTCAGTGAATATGACCTCGATATATTTTGTAAGAAAAAACAATCGTGAAAAAAACGTGAAAGACCATGTTTACGCGTGAAATGAGCGTGAACGGGAAGGCCCCCAAGTTTGGGACCGTTACAACATTTTTTTAAGCCAGATAATAATTGCCTTCCTCGCTGACACTGCCAAAATTCGGCCAACAAAAGATTGGCCCTCTCACCTGCTTACAGCAGGTTCCGATTCAAGACATTTGAGGCTTCAGAGTCAGCAGCGAAACAACTTCGTTTGGAGAGACAGCCATGAGGACCATATTTGGGCTATGAATATGGCCAAATTATAGCCTCGCTCGACGGTGCAAGTTTTACTTGGGTAAACATGCGCGTTCCTGAAAGACCTAGTTTTCTCCGTGAAATTGGCAAAGGCAAAGTTAAACTTCACCTTGGAAGTCAGGGGTATATACATCAGTCCATAGAACTCACACAACCAATAACGAAAGGATCAAATTGAATATTATTTGTGTGCACCCATAATCCAAAAATCCAATGAATGGGAATGATCATTCATGCATTAATATCCAAACTTCATTGGAATATACACATCCAGGGATAGAATCCTCCGACCCCAGCATCTTGGCTGCGCTTCCTGAGTTGTTCGGAGCTGGGCTGTGCTTCTTCCCCCAGCGCGCCAAACACGCTGCCTTTGTGTCGAGCCATGGCCTGGAAAGGGCGCCGGGACGTTGGGACCAGCGACATCCATTGACAGACGTTTTTTTGTTGGAGGGGGCTATCTAGAACATAATGAGAATAGTAGTAATAATAGTAAAATTATTACTATCATAATAGTATAACATATAATAATAATAGTAATATATATATATATATGCAAATTCACGACCAATATCAGTCGGAATTCATGTTCCCATCCGCGCAGCATTGTGGCCCCTCGCCCATTGTCAAAAAGGGAGTGCGCATTCTTGCTAGCTCCTGTGAACCACTTGCATGGTAGCGTTGAGCCTGGTTTGATACCGGGGAGCTATCTACGCTTAGCCTTGAGGCGGCGAGGATCCAGGGATATGGGTGAAGAAAGTGTGAGTAGAACCAAGGATGGGGTGCCAACTTTTGATGGCACCGCAGACAAGTTGAACCTCTACCGAGAGGAGGCTCTTCAGTACCTCTTCACGTTGGAGCACCACAAGAGGTACCTTGCAGGTCCTAGGTTAGCTCAGGCGCTGACTGGAATTGCGAGGACAGTCATCAGAAAGAGGCTGGCAGGAGACCCTCAGTGGTTAGCCCATCCGCGGGGGGCCTACGACCTACTGGAGCATCTGGAAAGGTGCATAGGGCAACCATCGTGGTTGCAGGCTTCGCAACACATACAGAAGTTCTTCTACCAGCTGAAACGAAAACGCTTCGAGTCAATGACGGCTTGGACAAATCGTCACAGTGAAGCCTTGTGGGAAGCCTCGAGGGCTCTCAGATTGGTTCAATCAGACCCAGGGACTAGTGTGAGCACTGGCAGGGGTATGTCTGAACCCTCATCTGGGAGATCATCTACTGACTGGCGCAACTACAAGCGCGATCGTCCACGTCAGGCTCAAAGCTCGGATGACCAAGGTCCATTTGGTGACAACGGTCGCTTGCGAGAAGAGGAGGATGAATGGGGAGCTGCTGATGAAGGAGTCCACTCTGATGCTGGTTGGAGCTGGAAGTCTTCCGATTGGGCGGACTGGTACTGGGGCTCATGGAAAAGTGATGAATATGCACCTCCTGCGTCTTGGAGTGCTGAAGCCCCGGACTTTATTCCGGACCATTTGACTGGCTTCTTGCTGTTGCAACGCTCAGGGCTTGATGCTGGTGAGCGAGCAAACGTACTGGCAGCCATCAAGGGCAACATCTCAGTGGTTTCTGTCGAACAAGCCTTGAAAGAACAGTGGACGGATGAAGACCTGATGAAGAGGGACAAACACCATCATCAGGCACAACTTGTGTTTGAGGATGAGCCCGAGGATGTGATGCTGGCGGACGAAGGTGCGCCAGATCCACATGAAGATGCTGAGGCCTATGAGTGCTACATGGCTGATCAGGCCCTGATTGAATCTGCTCTTGAAGTCATACAGGAGAAGAAGCGCACCTTGAAGGAAGCGCGGTGGCGACAACAACAAGTTCGCATGGGGCGCAACTTTTACCCCACCGGCAAGGGCAAATCGTCTTGGCCTCGATCATCTACCTTTCACCAAGGTCCAAAAGGTGGCAAAGGTGACAGCACCATCAAATGTGTCCGTTGTGGTGGTCCACATCAGACCGTCAACTGTCCAGTTCCAAAGAAGCAACATGCACAGGTCACAGAAGAGGCTGAGGTAGCTTTTGGATCTGAGCTTCTCCAGAACTCTCCTGCGGAAGCCGTGCATGTCTCCACCGAGGTGGGCAACAACATCATGCAGTGCAAGGGCGTGATTGACTGTGGAGCGACTGCAACTTTGGGTTCCATTGCAGCGGTCGAAGCTTTGATGCACAACAACATGACCAAGCACGGTGAGGACAGGGTTACCATAGATCCCCACAATACTCCTGTGTTCAAATTTGGGAACAACGGAACTACTTCATGCGTTTCCACTGCACATGTAAAGGTAGATTGTGGGTCCAAGCTAGGTGACATGGCTGTTCATGTACATGAGTTGCCCAATCAGCCAATTTTGATCTCAGTCAAAGCCCTGAAATCACTGGGCGCAGTTGTTGATTTTGCCAGAGATGAAGTGATTTACAAGCACCTTTGCCCGCACAGTGTTGTTTCTTTGGAGAGTGCCAAAAACGGCCACCTCCTGATGCCACTTGGTGGAAATCTTTTGGCAGGTGCAGTGAAGCGAGCTCAGCCATTTTCCCAGCTGGGCGACGAATAGGGAACATGCTCCTCTGGAGAAAATGGACATTGCGTCCAGGGGAGCTTGACAGGAAAGGATTTCTCTTATGAAACCTGTGCCGTGTGTAATTTGCAAGCTGTACAGAATTGTTTGTGCACCTTTTGTGGACATCAGCAACAAAAACACAATGTTTGTAGTGACACTGTTTTTCATGTTGGTAGGTCGAAGCTTGAGCCATCTAGTGCCACGTTGCAGCAGTCAGCAAGCCTCAACTCCGCAGTGCCCGAGCGTAACCTCACCAGTTCCGTTGCTCATCCAGCACACCATGCCGACCGAGCGCAAGATGGACCTCATCTCCAAGCTCCAGGACTTGGGAGAAGACGTGCCAACTGCCTGGAACACTCAGCAGATCAAGGCCCGATTGGCCGAGCTGAAGACTTTCCAGAAGGAAGGACAACATGCTCTCCTGAAGAACCAATTGACCGAGCTCAACCGTGCAGCTCGGAAGAAGGCAACTCTCGTTGTCTATGCCCAGGGCTTGGAGATCCCGGTGCGTCCCAACGACACCATCAGTGTGCTCTATGCCAAGTGCGAAGAGAGGATCACGGTGGCGACGCCGCCGACGGGCAGCGACCTGGTGAACTTCGGCAAGCACTCAGACAAGAAGTACAAGGAGATCCTGGAGGAATGTCCCTCCTATGCAGAGTGGATCCTAACCACAGCCGACGAGAACCCAGAGTCGTCGTGGCGCCTGAAACGACTGGCACAGTGGTTGAAGATCACCATGGAGGAACAGCACATCACACAGTTCAAGAAGACCGAGAAGGATCTCCCTCCGTCGGGATATCATCCCCGCCATGCCAAGGGGAATCCAAGCGGATCATCGACCGACCTGTCCGACGGGTCCTTCCTGAAAATCCAGACCGACGATTCCGACTCCGAATTGAGTCGCTTGAAGACCGAACTGGACCAGCTCCGCTCAGAGAACAACATGATGGCTCTGCAAATGTCGCGCAGCAAGTGCCGCAGGGAGACCTGAGCGGCCTTGATGACTTTGAGGACAGCTCTGAGTGGGAAGATTGCCCAGAACATCAGTGTTTTCAAGCTCGCAGGAAGATTGGACAAAATTGGTTGGAATCCAGAAACCCCTATGGCAAATCATGGGAAGAGTTGATATCTCTTGATAGGTTGTTTCTTTTGGAAGTTGCATGTTCTGAGCGAAGTATACTCTCTGAAGAAGTATTGTCCAGACATGGACCAAACTCTGCTATGCGATGTGCTCACTGGAATGGATTTGATCTGACAACTCGTAGTGGAGTGGAAAAGCTGAAACAACTGGTTCGTGAACGCCGTCCCAAGCATATTTGGATTTCTTGTGAATGTGGCCCTTTTTCTCCTTTACAACGGATCAATCAAAGAACCCCAAAACAATGTGAAGAATTACAACGTAAACGTGAGTCAGCAGTACAACAATATTTGGGTGGCATTGAAGTAGCAAGATTTGGACGTCGCTACGGTAGTCAAATTCACTGGGAATTGTCAGAAAAATGCGAGGCCTGGAATTTGCCGATCATTCAATCATTCCTGGAGGAACAACATTTACGAAGGGTTACATGCCATGGTTGTACTGTCAATCTTCGTGCACATGACACTGGTGAACTCATGTGTAAAGGTTGGACCATAGCCACTACCAACTACAACATCCTGCGACACATGAACTTTCCATGCCAACGAAATCATAAACATACAGTTTGTGAAAGCGGCAGGACCCATTATTCTTCCTTTTACACACCAATTTTTGCAAAGAAGGTGATCGATGCCCTTCAGGAACAAGAGGCGTGGTCGGCCCTCAGCCAGGAACTGTCCCTGCCACCTAGTGAGGTGTCAGATCCATTCTTTTGCGTGGAAAACTCAGAGACTTGCCTGGTGAACGAGGGTGAACTATCTTCTGAGGAAAAGATCAAAATCAACAATCTCCTGCGCCATATTCACAGTGTTACTGGACACGGCTCAGTAGAAACTTTGATCAAGTCCCTCAAGAACCGGGGAGTTCCTGAGAAAGTTCTGGCGATAGCAAGGGAGTTCCGCTGTCCTCTATGCGAAGAGCGCAAGCGGGTTGTGCCTCGGAGACCTGCTACTCTGGAGACTGCACCACTGAAATGGCAGAGGATACAAAGTGATCTAGGTTCTTGGACCCATCCTCATACACACCACAAGATCAAGTTCATCTTATTTATTGATGAGGGTTGCCGTTTCAGAACAGGTCGCATCTTATTTGAGAACAGCCGGGAACAGGCCACCTGGCCCGTTGTGCGAAAAGCATTTGAAGAGCTCTGGATCTCGACCTTCGGGAGGCCAGAGGAAATTCGTGCAGATCCTGAGGGTGTGTGGCGCAGCGATGAGGCCGCAGCATACTGCCAAGAGCGTAGCATGACGCTGACTCCAGTTCCGGCAGAAGCTCATTGGCAAATTGGAATAGTTGAAGAAGCAATCCAAGCGGTCAAACATGTGTTGGATACCCTCACCACTGAATTTCCTGACATGGAGCTCTCAGAATGTTTTGCACGGGCTATTTGGGCATGTAACTCTCGGGACAACTCCTATGGGTATTCTCCAGCTCAACATGCTATGGGTCGTAATCCTGATGAATGGGGTCGCCTCTTTACAAGTAAAGTTCAGGGACATCCAATACATCCACAACAACTGGTTGATGGGGGCTTTGGTGACAATATCAAAGCAATGGCCGCAGCAGAACAGAGCTTCAGCCGTTTCCAAGCGAAAGCACGACTTGCCCGAGCCGAAGCTGCAGGTCGAAGACCCATGAAACATTTTGTTCCTGGTGATTTGGTTTTCTATTGGCGAAAACAGGTTCAAGGAGGACAAGGTCGTGGTTTTTCATGGAGTGGTCAATTCATAGGTGCAGCCAGGGTGTTAGCTGTTGAGACTAGAGAGGATGAACAAGGGCGCCTTCGACCGGGTAGTTGTGTGTGGCTTCACCGTGCCGGCCGCTTGATCAAAGCCGCACCTGAACAATTGAGGCAAGCCTCGAGCCGTGAAAGAGCTGTGGAAGAACTCAAGGGACCATGCGAAATTCCATGGACGATCACTTCCTTAGCCACTCACCCACACAGAAAGACTTATTGGGACATTTCTGCAGAAAAACCCACAGACCTACAGTGGCAAGAGGCTAGCGATCATCCGACAGGTGGCCGGCGGTACAGTAGCAAGAAGCGTCCGACCTTAGACCAACCTGCGGAATCTCCACCTCAACCTATGGAGGATATCGCCGCAGATCCACAATTTGCAGATGACGATGTGGAGATGAAAGCAGAAGACACCACCACCAAACCAGTATCCGAATCTGATGAGGCCATGTTAGCGGTTGAGATCTCCATCGACATACCAAATTCAAAACGTGGTGTGAACAAGTTCATTGAGGATCCTGTAGCTTTTGTTGTGAATCAGATGAAGCGAAACACAGTAGAGGTGCGGGAGAGAACTTTGAGGGATGAGGAATTGGCTCAGTTTAAACTAGCAAAAGACAAAGAAGTACGTAGCTATATTCAATCACATTGTTTCAAAGTTCTACCACTTGAACAACAAGACAAATTGGATTCGGTTGGTATGCGATGGGTGCTCACATGGAAGGGTTTGGAAGATGGTAGTGGTGGCCACAAGGCTAAGGCCAGAGCGGTGATCCTAGGCTATCAGGACAGAAACTATGAGTTCAAGCAAACGGCTTCTCCCACATTGTCTAGGTCTGGTCGCCAAGCCTTTCTTGCGTTTTGCAGTCAATGTCATTTCCGTGTTCGGAAGGGAGATGTATCATCGGCATTTTTGCAGGGTGACACACTGAAGGATGGCATGAAGGTACAGCCCACTAGAGAAATATGCGATGCCTTGGGTATTCCTCATGGTTCTGTTACCCAACTACAACGTGCAGCATATGGACTGGTAGAAGCACCATTATGGTGGTACAAGAGTGTTTCCAATTTCCTCATTTCATTGGGTTACACACGAATGAAAACTGAACCTTGTATCTGGGTATACTTTGATGAAACAGGAACACCACGATCAGCCATTAGTGGACATGTCGATGACTTTCTATTTGCGGGTTGTGATGATGACGACTTGTATCAACAACTGGTTGCGAAGATCAAATCCAAGTTTCAATGGGGTCAATGGGAACATAGCCCTTTTGTTCAATGTGGTGTCAAGGTAGTACAACATGAGGACTACAGTTTTACTTTGAGCCAACACGATTTTCTGGAACAATTACATCCTATCAATATTAATCGAGAACGGTTTCGTCAACGTGATCACGAAACTACAGATACTGAAAAATCTCAAATGCGTGCGGTTCTGGGTAGCCTCAGTTGGATTTGTGGACAGACGGACATTTTACACAGTGTGGATGTGAATTTTCTTATTTCTACAATACCAAAGAGTACTGTGGCGGACATTGTCAAACTGAATCAGTTGGTCTCTGATGTTAAACGACATAGAGCAGAAATTTTTATTCACCCACTGAAGAAAGGGGAAAAGGTTGATTTAGTAACCTGGGGTGACGCAGCATGGGCCAATAGGCCCGATCAAGTCAATAGCACAGAGGGTCTCATTTGTGGTCTGGCACCACAGTCTCTGCGAAGGGGTGAGCTCTCCAAAGTCACCCTACTCTCCTGGAAGAGTGGGAAAATCCATCGAAAGTGCAGATCACCAGCATGTGCCGAAGTTCATGCAGTGGTAGATGCAGAAGATGATCTCTACCATCTGAGATACCTGTGGTCTGAAATGCACTATCCGAGATCTATGTTGGAAAAACTCTCAGCGCCTGAGATTGTGAACCTGACTCCTGGAATTACTATCACTGACAGTAAGAACCTTTATGACAAGATCAACACCGACTCACCGACAGTGAAAGGTGAAGAGAAAAGATCTACTATTGAAGCACTGGCTTTAAAAGATTCCTCTACCGAGTCAGGGACTATGCTCCGCTGGGTTCATTCAGATGCCCAGTTAGCTAACTCATTAACCAAGCCTTCGGAGAAACAACAACTTCTTCTTTTCTTTCAATTGAACCAATCTTGGAGAATCATTTATGATGAACAGATGAAATCCGCCAGACGGAGAAAAGCTGATGGTATCAAGCCTATGGAAAATCAAGCTGTTGATTCTTATTTTTTTTTGTCCACCGGTGCAAATTCACGACCAATATCAGTCGGAATTCATGTTCCCATCCGCGCAGCATTGTGGCCCCTCGCCCATTGTCAAAAAGGGAGTGCGCATTCTTGCTAGCTCCTGTGAACCACTTGCAATATATATATATATAATTATATAGTTATATATATATATATATGTCGTAAACAAATATTACAAGTATAATTATATATTAAACATAAATTGTAACATGATCTGATGACAAGATGTTATGGTATTGCTACTGCTAACCACTACCATTGGTTCTTGGGGTTACATGGGCTGCTGCTTAGCTCCCACAGAAGAGGATGTGTTATCATTCCCTGCCCCAAGACCCATGGCCAGTCAAACCTCCCAGTAGAGGAAACACTGTAATGGATCTGATTTGATGGCATGAGGTTCAAACAGCACTGAGTAGCGGAACACGTTGTAGACGTTAGAAAGGAACATCCTGAAGGAATGGGAGAAAGAAAAGGGAGAAAAAATATGAGGACTGCAGGAACAAGAAACATGATTAAGCCTGAGTCAACCAACAAACAATCGAATGTAAACTCGCTATCCCCAAACATCAAATATCAACAAAACCGGTGGGTATCACGACAATGTAGGGATTCACCTTCTAGCTATGAGAGATCAGGAAGGAAACAAAACAACGTATCTCGCTGTGTTATATGTATGACTCATATGACGGTATACTGATGTACACAACAGTATTTTTCGTATTAGCATTGTCCCAACCATTGGGGCTCCCATATGCAGACCCCAGCAAAACCCCCAGCAAAACCCCCTGCTTGCAGCCAAGTGGTCTCAAAGTCACCAAGGATTGAAAAATACACGGAAATTCTGGTTCCCTGCGACCAAACATCCACAAAAACCTGAAGATGTCCAAACACAAATGGACCATAAAAACAAATCATCATGACATATCACAATGCTCTAAGTTGGCAATTCCACAATGTGGGTCCTTCACTTTCCCACCTCGGCACTGTTCCAAATGTGTTCCCCGTGCGCATGTTTTCCGGCGCGGTGCCACCGTGAGGGTGGCCTGTCTCAGGCGCTTCGATTGGTTAAGCCGACTCACCCGCTTGCTGTTCCAGAGATTCTTTCTGGGCGTTCGCGAGTAAACAACATAATGATATAATGGCTAAATCATGCTAAATCCAATTAAATCCATCTAAATCCATCTAAACAGCGGGAAACCGTGGGATTTCATGGGGGATTTCTTCATCTACAGTCGAACAGTCTTCACATTTTCGCATGGGATATCCAGATTCTGGGGATGCAAAGGATCCCATGGAATTCAAAGATGTCAAGTTGTCAAGAACATATTTTATCTATTTATAACAATTTATAATATATATATATATATTATATATATATATAATTTTATATATACACAAACATGCACAAACATTCCTACAAGTCAAATGCACATAATATGCAAATAGATGCCGCTTCCACCGATGTGGCTCGATTGGAGTAGCCCGAGCCGAGCGAAGATAAGTGCTGTACGTTGATGTCTGGTATCAACAGGTTGATACCGGAATTTTAAACGCGGTGTTCCACAAATAGATTTACAACAATATCACGACTCATTTTCTATAATGTGGTAAACCCGTTAGGGAAGAAACAAAATTACTTTACTTCGTGTGATCCCCACCATGACATTTATACATTTTGTTACTGGCAAATCTTCTGGCATTCTATCTGACATATTTTCTGGCATTCGATCTGGCATATCTTCTGGCATTCTACCTGGCATATCTTCTGGCAGATGTTCTGGCATATCTTCTGGCAGATGTTCTGGCATATCTTCTGGCATATCTTCTGGCATATGTTCTGGCATATCTTCTGGCATTCCATCTGGCATTCTATCTGGTATATCTTCTGGCATGTTATCTGGCAAATCTTCTGGCATTCCATCTGGCATTCTATCTAGCATATCTTCTGGCATATTATCTGGCAAATCTGCTGGCATTCTATCTGGCAAACATTCTGGCACTTTATCTGGCATATCTTCTGGCATTCTAGCTGACATTCTATCCTGCATTCTATCTGGCATACCTTCTGGCATTCTATCTGGCATATCTTCTAACATTCTATCTGGCATATCTTCTGGCACTCTATGTGGCATATCTTTTGGCGTGGATACTCGCGGTTGAGGTCCGGCAGGGAACACTGGGCGTGGATGGTCGTGGTTGAGGTCCGGCAGGGAACACTGGGCGGGGATACCCGCGGTTGAGGTCCGGCAGGGAACACTGGGCGGTGATGGTCGTGGTTGAGGTCCGGCAGGGAACACTGGGCGTGGATGGTCGTGGTTGAGGTCCGGCAGGGAGCAGGAGGAGAGGAGACGAGGAGAGGAGGAGGAGAAGGAGGAGGAGGAGGAGCAAGCAACTGACATAAAATCTAACAACCCTCACCTGGCAGGTGGGGAAATAAGAACAAGAACGGCAACAACAACAACAACAACAACCACAATCACAATATGCAAGATTGCCAAAACCACGCCCAACATTGGTGGTTTCTTTTTGGGCCTATCCGTTTATTCTAGCGAAATCCATCACTTTTTGATCTTGATCATCAAGCCCAGTCCATGAGAACCGTGGAGCATACCATGAGCTTGGAAGCCCCGCCCACTCAGAATGCCCAAGTTCAGCAAGATTACAAGACAAATCTGGCTTGGGACCCACGTGCATGGGCCCCAAATCCGACTCGCGCCGATCTCGGTGCGGTGAAGGTCTCTAAGCATTGGAGTCAGAACCGGCTCACAGGACCGAAGTGTTCGCATGTTTCGTTTGCTTGATGAATTGATATACTCGGGCTATGAACCCAACCATAATTTGGCAATTTGGTCAATCAAAAGTTTAAACAGCACTACAAATTACCATTAATATCTATACAATAACATTAAACACCAATCAGATCCAATCATGATATGTGTCCAGCAGCTATGCCATCAACCAGCTGACGACGGCCAAGGCGTGGGAGAGTTACGCTAAAGAACCAGGATGAACCAGGGAGGGAGAACAGGCTTCGGTCGTGAAAAAAAATACCCGGATATGTATCTGGATATGGATATGTATCTGGATAAGTAATCACCTGAAATGAACTAAATTGAACTGTTGTTGGATGTTGTTGGGCCATTCGCCATCATATCCATCATACTTCGCCCAGGCTTTCGTTATTTCTTCAATTTTCTTCATATTTCTTCTATGCTTCATTGCCCATAGGGTTCCGGAAGCTTGGTCCATCATGGGCCGACGACTAAAACCATGTCGGATGGATCAGCCACTTCCTGCCCCTAGGCTCAGTGGCTAGGGGGAGGAGAGGCTAAGCTGAGTCCTACATAGTCTTCCAGGTACGAGTAGAGGATGTAGAGGATCCAACTTTCAAAATGGAAGAAGCCTCTTCGGATGGCTTAAACACCGATCCAAAACTGGTTGGTAGCGTGCAAAAAAAGCCATGACTCCGTCGGGTACATGATCCCCGGTGTGGGAAAGAAATGGAAAGCACAACACTGAGACACTGAGATCTGTCACCAGCCAGCATTAGGATGCCATCATTTTAAACATTTCGCCAACTACCTGATGTTCTTCGGCAGTGGCTAGGCGACGACACCGTGGTCAAATGCAACAGCCGAACTCCATGGAGTTTGGTGCATTGGACCAGGTGCTGACGGGAAGCAGCCGCGCACCAACCAAAACAACCCTGGGGTGGTCGTCTTGGGACATTATGTGTTTTTCATATGTTTTTTTCATGTTGGTCAATTTGATTTTTAAATGACCCCCTTTAGACAACAATGAAAAACAAGATCCAGTTTGAGGGTTTCGCCCCCCAATAAAATCATTAGCCCCGGGCTGTGCTATGAGTTGAAGGCATCTCCCTCTGCACGCAAAAACCCCAAAACAACACTGACCAATCTGACCAAGTGACTTCAGGATACTGATGTTGTGTGTTGTCAATTCTGTGAACAGCTGCTTCAGCCAATTCTGCACAGCTTGCGGTGGCTATAACACAAATTTCCGCCTGGGGAATTGCAAAGCCACTCTTAGCCGTCAAGTCCCATCTAGCTATTCCAAAAACAGGTTCTCCATGTTGTGTCAAATGCATTCAAAGGCTGCAAAGGGGCACGCCCGGCATGTCCTGTGATGCAAAAAGACACCGGACTACATCTGTGTTGGGAAATGATGAGGACCAGGGTTTGATGAGTCGGTAAAAAAACATCCAGGAAACCCAGGTCGATTTAACATCATATTACAAGAAGGTTCCGAAAGATCGTCATTCGAGAATCCAACAAAGGGCAACCCCAAATCCAATGTTGCGTATGTAACCACAGAACATTTTCGGCGTAAACATGGGTAAACCCAAAAACCAATTTCCAGGATGGATTGGTCTTATGTATTTAGAGCATGGCTCTGCCATCAGACTCGCTCTCCAAAATAGAGTCTGGCAGCCACCGAGCACAGCAAAACATCAACCAATGTTGAGTGGCGGTTCGCCTGCGGTTTATTCATCCCCAGTAGTGTAAAACGACGACCGTCTTCTGGATGCTCCTGGAAGCCTGTGACTTCAAACCACCAACTATGTACTCATTGGTCAATGATCTCTTATAAATGATGCAGCTCGGGATTGAGAAAGCACAGCTGACCGCAAGGAGTTCTTCCAAACCTGCAGGAACATCTACTGTACACCACTGAATCAAAAACTGCCACATCCAGCAGGAAAGTCAAAGTACTGACGCTCAGGGATGTAAGAATTTAGCTTCGGGGAAACTCGGGGGTATTCTCCGCTATGGTACTCCAACTTTGAGACGACTACACTAAGGTCACTAAAGGTCATGAGATCCACGGGCCTGGTTAACATCAATTTATCGTTGATGAGTTGCTGATTGGTGGTTTCGGATTTCAACCGCTCTCTGAATAATAGCTCATTGCAGATCGGACAATCTGAACTTCCTCTTCCGCTGAGCTGGCCACGCGTCCAACAACGCTGAACAAACGTGCTTTTTGCATCGTTTTGCCGAATTTTGTACAGTACAAACTTTCTGAGCAGCTTGGGCTAGGGCAACTGATATTGTTGGTGGACACGGGCCCCGTCCTGTTCAACCGACCCTTTTCCTGGCGCAGGCCATCACTATTTTGACTATATTGCAATATTTTGCGAGATACTTGCACACACCATGGGCATGCACAATCAAGTCATCAATTTGCCCATGTCAAAAGCCTTTGCGCGGCGCGCAATTCAGAAATGTACGCGATTCGTCAGCACTGCTGCGCTGTGTAGGCTCGCGTCGCGTTTGCGACCGCGGCGTTCAACTGCTCATTGATGCTCAAGGAGTCTCAGTAACGTTTCAGGGATCGACATGCAACGCTTCGTTTCCCATGCAATGCAAAAGCTCGTCCGTCCTTTGGGAAGATAAAACTATGAGCTGGCATAAAGGACAAAAATCCGCTTAACGTATGAAAGGGATCCAAAAATGAAACGCGTTGAAGACCTGTCCCAGAACTTAGAATATGAAATACGCTGATCTAAATGATCTAAATTGTAAATTTTGAGCAGCCCAATGAGCAACGGAAAATGGCCAGAAGCTCAGCCTATTTCGTGAGGCTGGCGTGCCGCCGAAGACTCGTTCTGCTCGAGACCTCCAAGTGAAAAGGCCTGCTCGCCTCTCCAACTTTGGTAGGATTCAAGTGATTCAAGGACCGAATGTTTGCAGTTTCCATAGATGGATTCTCCAGAGAAATCTTAGGGGGGTTCCTGCATCCTGCATTTATCTCTTCAAAAGCCTATATGAAAAATGATGGAAACTATGACCTTTCTATACCTTTCTGACTAATCTGACTACTTTCGACTTGGTTTTCCCATATGTTTTCCCATATGTTCACATCATTCTGGGAATCTTGGGGACATGTCTTCGATGGTAAAAAAATATCACCAGCTGTCAGGGGGGGGATGGGACAGTTCCCAGGATTCCCAGCTCCATGCTGCTCAAAGTCTAACTTCTAGTAGTTGCTATGTATATACCCCATAGGATTCATGTATGGTATATATGGTAACATTTACCATCAATATACCCCAAATGTAAGCATATATACCATACATGGATCCTATGGGTACTGTATAAAGATTGTATAGTATAAGTCTTTATGAGCCCCCAGAGAAGCCAAACGTCTAAGGAAGTGGCTGCGAACCGCCAGGAACCACCATGTAAATCGTGTAATTGAAGATTATATATTAGTCAGGTTTGTATTTCTGCTCAGTTGACAGTGGTGCAGCATTATGACTCCAATTGACTCCACGACTCGAAAGATCGTGGATATGTCTTTACCATGGATTCGACGTAGCCGCTTCAAGTTGCAGAAAACATCCAGATCACACACCATGAATCAATAATTCGGATGCGTGGAAAACATGTACGGCATCCACACGTCTAGCCCATGTCTTCCAAACTTCGAAAGAGACATTCTTCAAGGTCAATCTAGAGTCAGGCTTGAATCCCTTCAGGTGCAAGGCTGTTATCCGCTGGATCTGGAATTGAAACTATTTCCACGGGCTTGCTTCCGCTTTGGCCCCTCGGCCTTGTCATGGCCCTGCCATCCACGAAATCGTCGCCATTTCTCCGAGTCTCGCACGAAATCGAGACAGCATAGGGTGGCGCAGTGGCGCTTCACGAAACTTCATATCCCAGATGCTCCATGTATAGTATATTTACCTACAAAACTGGCTCATTTATGGGGTAAGTGTTGGTAAATATTCCAGCACCATGGTTCGCATATGGGTATGGTATAATCGCGGGTTAGCGGTCTTTCAAAATCCGGCAGCCATCACCTTGGTGGCAAAGTAAAAGGTGGCCATTCCACTGATGTAGAAGGCCTTCAGCACCTGCCGTGTGGCGAAACAAAAAAAAAGGTCCCTTAGTGGGATAGCAAGGCCATGGGACCCATGATGAGTCAGGGCTCAGGGCACAGCTTCTGGACCTGGCAACTGACTAAAAAAAGCCATGAATTCTGTAGCTTGGTTAAGGCCTTCATAAATTCTCCCGAAAAACATAACAGAAAAACATAACAGCCAACTACTCCCCATGACCGGTCGACCCTGGCCAAGGCACCATGTCTCGAGTTACCCGAACTTCAAAAATATAGAAACCTGCCTGGCCAAGCTGGAAAGCAGCCGGGAATGTGTTGAACTCTCCATTCCTTTATGGATGGTGATGGATGGTGCAACCGTAAATCCATTACACTTCTGGCCTTCTTGCTGACACAAAATCATGGTGGTAAAATGGGAACCCATATTTTAGATAGCAACATACAGTTTGTGATGTTTGTGTTTGCTCTTTGTCTAGTTTTATGATGTTTTATGATTTGATGTTTTGATTGAACTGTTTCAAACGAATGGTGTCATTTTTGTTCCATCACCCTTTAGGCATGGCCCAAAACTCAACCCTGCCTGGCTATAGAACCTCAAACGAGAGAGCAGGGAGCAATGCCCAGGTTCTCCACTGCTTGCAACATCCTTCCCCTTACCATAGATTTCTCTAAACCCATAGGATCCATGTCTGGTATATATGCTAACATTGGGGGTATATTGATGGTAAATGTTACCATATATAGCATACATGGATCCTATGGGAAATAGGTGGGATATCATGTAATAGAGAGATATCATGCATTGGGAGGTCTTGAAACTCAAAAAACACACGAGTAGAGGCTCTCTGTGACAAATGGAGAAGCCGACCGACCCGCAACAATCAACCCCGAAATTGCACACAAAATAGTTGGCCTCGCTTCCAGTTGGAACTTGTGCATATACGGCATATACCCCTATTTTACGCGCAAAGAGCCCGTATTGCCAGAAGCAACGGAGTGCCACATAATCATACATAATCCACTTCCTGAAGCAAAAAACACTTGACAATCAGAATCAAATCAATCTTCAACTCCAGGCAATTACATCAAAAATCTGGATACCCCTGGTATAAATTACCATGGTCAACTCAGGAATAAGGACCAGTCGTATGGACCCCCAGCAGGGTCCCCTACTGTCCTATAGATTCCACTATAGTAACCCAAAAACAAAGATGCCGAAAATGGTTTCCAGGATGGTAGTTCGATGATATTCCTTTTGTAAATTTCTGATATTCCAACTTTTCTACCTATTTGGGGGTTGATACAACCCCCATCTGGTTAACATAGCTATAGAATGCTATATATGGAAGCCATGGCCTTTAGAAATAGATGATACACATGTTAATCTATTTAAAATGGTGATGTTCCTGTCAAATCGTTGAAAAACCATAGGTTTTTCAATCCCGTGGCTGGGCCCAGTGGCATGTACTCCACCAAGTACAGACGATCTGCATCCAGCGATCGTCCAAAGCCCAACCTGGTTCCCAACGAATTCTGCTTATGTTCAAATGCTATTGAATGACATTGATAATAAAGAAATAAAAACCTTGCAAAAAATCAGATAATCTGAATCACATTGATCACGGTAAATCAATCATAATCATGCTGCATGTTTGTTCAGACTTGCACTGATAACCCGACGTACGTGCCTAGGGAACGAGCCATCCACTGAGACTATGACCCGAGGACATGGCGAAAAACCGGACATACCCTGCTAACGAATGGTTTGTTAGAGGTATCCTCCTGGTGATTTGAAGTAGCTCTGGAAAATGGCCCGTTTAGAGATGATTTTCCATAGTTACCATCTGGTTATTTAACATAGCCATGGAACATGGCCCATTTATAGATGATTTTCCCATTAATACCTCCATTTATAAGGGATTTTCCATGGCTATGTTAAATAACCAGAGGGTATATTAAATTACCAGAGGGATCCAGAGGGTATTTCATTGTCCTCCCCTTGCCATGGCCGCACTTGAAACTCGAGCAAGCGCCATGTTTCATTGCCCAAGACTTGGAAATTGAGGACCTTGAGGCCTTGAGGTTTCCTGAAATGGGGGTAGCCCTAAATCATCCATTTTACTAGGATTTTCCATTATAAACCATCTATTTACCCCCATAAATTGACCGTGGCAAAGCCTGATAATCCTGTGGCCCAGGAGCGAGTTCACAAAGGGAGGCAGTCGCTCGCAGTGGTCCTGAGCCAGGGGTCGTTCGCAGTGGGCTCCTGGTGGGGACAATGACACAATGCGTACCTGTGCATGTATAGATAGGTTGATAGATTAGGTTAGATTAGATTGGATTGGATTAGATTTAGATTTAGATTTAAATTATATACGTAGATTAGACAGACAGACAAAATCAGACAAACAAATAGAATCAAATAGATAGATGCTACTCTCATTCAATACCTACAAGCCCATGTGCTCCCCGTGTGTTTGTAATATCAACAGCTACGTGCTCCCACCTTGAGCAATTCACCCTGAAGAAATGATCGGCAAATGATGGGTGAATCATATCCGTACCAATTTACTGGAGGGATCTCGAGCGTATATTTAGTTTGGATTCACTAGTTTTCTGGTACTATATATAGTTACTAGTTTGTTTGTTTTTTTAATAACAGGTATAGTGGTAAATAGTTTTTTAACACGTAGTGGGAGAGCAATGCAAGCAACAGAGCTGCTTGAAGTCTGGCAGACTTAAACTCTCGGGCTATTTTCAGCTGAGCTTCAGTGACGCTTGCAGCGCATAGGAACAGCTGCGCCAAGCCGATCAATACACAGGCTCCTGCGAAATCCAGCTAAGCCAGCGAAATTCACAGCTTTCTGCTTCAAGTCGAAAGGAGAATACCCAAACTGAGGGATCTGAGGGAACCCCTACCTCTGAGAGCATTTGTTTCAAGTCTTGTTCTCGGAACTTTTGGCTCCTGAAATGAGCAGAGTCGGTTTGTTGAGACGATAAAAGTCGTCCACACCCAGTATCAACGCCTGGCTGAAAAGACAGGTTTCGTATCTGGGCCATGCAGTTTATGTGAATATTCTGAGGATGAGATCAGTCCCAAATGTCCAAAAGTATGGCGATGTGAGCTGCTCAAATGACATCAACCATCATCAAACTATAAACTTCTTCGTATCCTTAAACCCGAAGATCACAACACTGCTGGAAGAATCTGCTAGCTGCAAGCTGCAGATGAGGTGCTGCAACAATGGTGCTCTGCAACACGATGAAGAGGTACTGCAAGGAATGGCAGCTCCTCATATCTGGCCATCCAAAAAATTGCCTCATAGGGAGTTCACCATCATAAATCCATATAACTCGTGTATAATTATCCATGATCCAGTATGATATTAAATACTCCCAAGCTTCGGGCATTCAAATGAATCGATCCATGATCAAAACAATAGGAATCCCCGGAGAAGATTCATTGAAACTTTTCTGATGGGGTTACCTTTCTGTAATCTGACATGGCAATGACAAATCCAATCTGCATCTATGTTTCTATAGTATTCCTACCGCTTTTCCGTTGCCGTGTTTTTTCCGTTGCCGTGTTTGATTGCCAGCGGTTACAATTTTGAGATTTAGTCCAGGTCCCATAAAATTCCAAAATTAGAAATGGATCTTCCCGTTTTTTTAATCCATCCCCCCTAACATTCAATTGTTAAATTCCCAAGCCTGGTGGAATGTGCTCTATTCACATTGGGTATCCCCCAGGGCCCCACTAAACACACACTGGGGATGAACTCTCCTCCGGAGCAAAGCCTGTAACAAATTCCAGTCCTGACACGAGCAAAACGACGAAATTTCTTGGGATGACTCATCGCAACTCCCAAATGCTATATTTGCTATCTATCTATCTATCTATCTATCTATCCATCCATCTATCTATCTATCTATCTATATACTTGGGGATGGTGCTTTTGTTCTGAATCCCACCTTAAAATTGCAAGGTGCGGGAGATATATCATTACTGGGTCCAAGTACCAGCCAAAACAAAAGGATACCGGGTTCAGCCGGTATGACTCACCAAATATGAGATGATTTGACACTTTGTCCTGTCATTTGTGGTCCCCAAAGGGGCATGATCCATCCAAATTTAAATGTCACAAACAAAAAAAATGATCTGTAGGTCCTATGTCCTATGCAAGTGGTGACACACGAATTTCCCCTGCTAGACAAGTACTATAAATGATTATTAATGTGAGTGTTTGTGTATCGTCACAATGTATTTATCATATGGGTAAAACGGTAAAACATAACAATTCACCAACCTGCAAAGTTTGGCCGTTTTCATATCATAGTACCCCAATCCTAACCATAATTAGGCCATGGTGATGTCTCAAAAACACTGCAAATACCGTGGCTCTTGACTTCTGGCCGAGGTGCCCAAAACATCGGTATTTACGGTGAAAACAGAACCTACTTGACGATTCTTTGGAACACCAAAAATGCGACAAGCTGCGGTATGTAAAGAATATCACACCGTGCTCTACGCATGCACAAAGCACATGAGCAACACCAACACTCACACTCCTGCAATGTTGGGCACATCCCTGCTATGATGTCCCGCCTGTTCAGCAACACAAAGGTCTGAAGTAGTGACCAGATTAAAGGAGAAGTCATCGATGATGACGTAAAATCCTGGCGAAGCAGGGATGGGATTGTGATATCACGACATTCCAAAGATACACCATATTATGTATATATATATATCGTATATATATATATATATTGGAAAACATGCAAGTGAATATATTACACATGTCAGTGTCTATGAATGCCTGTGCTTGCCAGAGAGTATGAAGGTATTCCCATCCTCCCAACATTAAACACCCCCTAAATGAGTCTAAATGGCATGCAAATATGTGCAAATACCTTATCAAATCGTGGTTTCGGGGCGTGTTATTTAATGTTGAGAAGATGGGATGTTTAAGATGGTAAGATATCAAGTAACGTTTGAGCTATATAATTAAAGGAACATATTTAGATGACAGCCTTATGTATATATACATATAATATATATATATATATTGTGTGTGTGTATGTGTATGCTCCAAAGCAGTGTGAAGGAAAGTGGTAAGGAAACGTCATACATATATTATATGATTTTTATGTTATATACACATGCAAACATATAGTCCGCAACCTTACCGTTCGCCCAGACACATCATTGTGACAAAGCAGAGACAATTCTGTGTTTCTGGGAAGTTGCGAATCCAAGCAAGGCCAAGGGGGAAAATTAGGCCACGGTGGCATGTGAAAGATACCTTGAATACAGTTATCTTCATGAGGAAGCAATATCACCTGATCATCATGAGGGAACAAAATCCGCCACCCCCTATGACCAATATGCTGAACGGGCAAACAACACGCCACACCCTCTATAATCTCTACAGCCAATATGTTGTATCGAGTAATTACATCAACATGATCTTCAAGAGGAAAGAAAATCCGCCAACCCCTATGACCAATTTGCTGAACGGGCTAACAACATCAACTTTATCTTCATGAGGGATCAAAATTCGCCACCTCCTCAGAACAATATGTTGATTGGGGAAATAACATCAATTTTATCTTCATGGGGGATCAAAATTAGCCACCCCCCCTGAGCAATACGTTATTGCGGGACATCAACTTCGGGCAAACGTCCAGGTTGCAGCGATATAGTCCGCAACCTTAACGTTCGCCCAGACTCATCGAACATATATTATATAATCTAATTATAATGTATAGTTGTTCACACACGTGCGTACAGTATCTGCGAAGTGCATATTTAGTGTATTTGCAAACATCCGTGGCAAGCTGGAAATCGTCAAAGTAAATGAAGGTTCCTAGCTAGGAACATCATCTAGAATCCATAAATTCCAGCAAACCATGTTTGAGTACCGGATTGTCAATTCCCATCTTAAATACCATTAAAATCCATCACATCCCCATTAAACCCATTAGATTCCCATTAAATCACCATTAAATCCCCATGAAAGTGCCCCAGGTGGCCTCGACAGACCCGCATGATGCGGAAGAGGCAAGACAGCAAGACCGCGCCAGAGACCTCGGCAAAGCTAAAGGCGATGGGAAAGATGAAATGGGGAACATATATATATATTCAATGGGGAATTAAATGGTGACTAGATATGATTTGGATATTTCCGCCATTTAACTGTAAGGAATATCATTTTCAAATGTTTTAAATGGGGAATATCCTTTTGAAGGTTTCATAAATTTCATAACGAGCTTAACAATATAAATTCGGGAATGCGTTATAACAATGTGTGAATAATAATTTCTCAAGTGAGCTAGAAAGTGGTATATTTTTCTGATGGAAAACATACTGCATACTGAATATGAAATGTCCCTGCTGAAAAACTGTGCTTTTGTAAATTGTAAACATCGACAGCTGTTTTCTTTTCCGTCACCTGCACAGTCTCTAGATTTTACGTCAGCTTGCCCGCTCCTACTCCTTCTCATCTCCTGTCAAGTCGTCAAGTTCCCCAACGTCATGGCCGGTTTCGCCACTGTCACTCTATCGCGAGCTTGCCATCTTTGCACCCAACCGGAGCCGAACACAATGGCAGATAAAATGTCAGACAGAATGTCAGTGTATGAGACAGAATGTCAGATGGAATGTCAGAATAAATGCAAAACAAAATGTCGGAGCGAATTTCAGATAGAAATTTGATATATATATATATATATGTGTGTGTGTGTACATATGTATATGGGTATGGCCCTGGCTCAAAAAACGGGTACGCGGTGATCCAGACGTATGGAACGAGGCGTTGTCAGCAAGCGTTTTGATCCGGACCTTGTCATGAGGGCTTACATTGATTTGCGAAGGAAGTTTAGAAGTCAAACTTCCGACAATATGGACAGATGAAAAGCAGATGGGAAGAGTCAGAGAGAAGAGAAGAGTAGAAGAGAGAAGATCAGAGAAGAGAAAGAACCAGAAGAAAGAAGACGCAGATGCGCGAAAAGGTAGGAAAGTCGCGAAACACTGTCTTCATCAGAGGCATAGATGCAACATAGAGAGGATGTGGGATATATCTGATATGTTGAATACACTTGAATATCAATAAATGGTGGTGATGGCGGATGGGTCCGACATGGTATGATTCGGGCATGGAACAGGTATGGATCGGGGTATGGAACGAAATGGACCTGAATTTCTAAAAATTCTGGCTGATTGTTTTGGTGGTAGATTCAAAATCTAATTCAATCCTTTTGCTGGAACGGAAACCAATCGTGAATAACCCTTGGCTGATTTGGTGGATATTGTGGTGTTCATAACCCCCCACAACCCCAAGTATACTTTAAACTGCAGATTGCGAGCCATCATACCAACACACTCATAAATTCCTTTATGGTAGCAATAGCGACAAACCAGCTCCAACACATCCCTTGGTCATGTATTTCGTGGATACCGTGAATTCCATTGCCCCTGAATCTTTATGTACATTTAAAAACGTGTCTGCATGTATAGATAAATATATATGTATATGTGAATCTATCTACATGTAGGTTTACATATGCATATATATATATATATTTATTTTTTTTCAATCTGAATATGTATATATATATATATTTATTTAGATCACATGCATCAAATAGCTGGCCCTGACCCCTCACTCAAAACGCAATGCGTGAAACAGAAACTGAAGAATCCCATAGGTACAACTCAGAAACAAAACCAATACATGCCCAGGATTTGCAATTACTGAGGTATGGATCATGGGTATGGATCATAGGATATCATAGGTATGGATCATGTCCTCTAAAGGGGTATGGATCATGGGTATGGGCCATGGGGTATGGATCGCAAGTGGTCCCAGGGTATGGATCGGAACCTTACATTGTGAGCTGCAGCCATATATATATATACACACACACATATATATATATATGTATGTATACATAGTATATGTATATAAATGTATTGTAAATGTGTGTCAGATAAAGATGGAATGCCAAGTAAAATGCAAAATATGTTCTCGCCGCTGCTTGCTGCCGAGTTGCTGCAAACGATCCGAGATTGCACCTCGGCATCACGATGCCTAATTAGATTTAGATCATGGTTTCAACTTGAGATAGTTGGGTTAGGCTTATAATTTATAATTAACCATAATAATCACAAAACTACTTATGATGACATTGCGGGTGAACAGTTAAGACTGGTAAATGTTTTGTGAGCCATCAGTACATCAAAAGAAAATTGGGTGCTCATTTAAACCATTTTAAACTTCTGGTATTTCAACTGCACATGAAGGTTACTGGCTCTGCTGTTGGGAATTGTTCAAAGCCAGCAAGGCCCCTGATGACCATGTGGCAGCGGGATGTAGATGGAAATGAGCTCTGTGCTCCACCGTATGCAGTATAGCGGTTGGTTTCAAAATCCACCGTATCATAAGCCATTGATTCCCGGTGTATCCACCTTGTTTATACCAAGAAATACATCGTATAACATGACATTTCTACCTGTGTCCCATCGTGTCCCTTTCACCATTGCAGATTGTTGCAGCATAGTGCAAACTCCCGTCTTTATCGGCTTGGATCGGGGCCCCTGGCAGGTTGTACACAAGCTCCTGTTGATCCACATCCTGTGGCAAGACTTGGCTTCTTTGGGCTACTGATTCTGGTTATGTGGATGGCCATCATCATCATCATCATCATCATCGATCATCATCGATCATTATCATTGATCATCATTGGTCATTATCATTGTATAATCATCATCATTCATCATCATTCATCATCATCACCATCGTCAGCAATGCCGTTTCTGTCCAGTAGCGTCCCAAAACTCAGCAGATCCAGGTCCGTTTATATCGATTTGATATGATGTGATATCATCCCAAGGACCTCCGGTTTGTTGCTATTGAAATCACGGTCGCCCACAGAAAGATCATAAATGAGCTGAGGGGGCATTCCAAACTGCAATAAAGCAATGGAAATGTGGAGCAAAACTGGAGAAAATGAAAGAACATCTGCCTCGGTGCCCACCAACAACAAAAATGTTTTGTTATGTTTCTTATTCTATTTGTTTTTTTTTAACTATGATTCATGTGTTTGATTTTTCAGTTTGTCTCAGTTTTGGAAGGCAATATTAAAGGAAAATCCAGCTAGCTACCCAAGAAAAACAACAATTTCAGCTATGTTTGATTGATTTTGGTTATGAGTCTATGATTTTCGTAATTTTCTGGTATGTTCCATTATGCTTCCTAGATTGTAAGTATAGATATGTTTATTTATCAGAATTTTGTATTAGTCATTTTATTTTACGCTAATGTATCATCAGTATTTACATTTGTTTACTACTTGTTATTTTTCAGCCTCCATTATGATCCCTTCCGATCAGACTCCCCGTTCTCATAGAAGAAGAGAGTGAAGAGTAATTTAGTACTCTTAGTCTAAGTCTAAGTGACTCTTCTTAATAAATAATCATAATTAATCTAATTACTCGTGGAATTCTACATTCTGCATCTTTTTCCGGGGTTGCCAGTTCTCCCAATCCCTACGGCGGTCGCAGCACCCAGCGGGCACCGCTGCCTGTTGCAGTTGTAAAGTGGCGATGCCATCAGCGAAAAGCTCCCGTGTCCGCTCAACCACCGATAGCGCCCAAATAATCAGCACCTGCGTCGGAAGTTGAGAGTGACAACTCCAAATCGGAGTGCGTCCCGTCCGCACCAAAAAACTCATGCCGGTGGTTTGTTTAATCATTGTTGAACCGGCATTAGCCAGCATTAACCAGCATTAACCAGCATTAACCAGAATTAACCAGCATTAACCGGCATTAACCGGCATTAACCAGCATTAACCAGCATTAACCAGCATTAACCATTGTTGAACCATTGTTGAACCATTGTTGAACCATTGTTGAAGCATTGGTGAAGCATTGGTGAAGCACTGGTGAAGCATTGGCGAAGCATTGGTGAAGCATTGGTGAAGCATTGCATTGTGAAGCATTGGTGAAGCATTGGTGAAGCATTGGCGAACCATTGGTGAACCATTGGTGAAGCATTGGTGAACCATTGGTGAAGCATTGGTGAAGCATTGGTGAAGCATGCTTGAAGCATTGTTGAAGCATTGGTGAAGCATTGGTGAAGCATTGGTGAAGCATTGGTGAAGCATTGGTGAAGCATTGGTGAAGCATTGGTGAAGCATTGGTGAAGCATTGTGAAGCATTGGTGAAGCATTGGCGAAGCATTGGTGAAGCATTGGTGAAGCATTGGTGAAGCATGCTTGAAGCATTGGTGAAGCAAGCATTGGTGAAGCATTGGTGAGCATGCTTGAAGCCATGGTGAAGCATTGGTGAAGCATTGGTGAAGCATTGTGAAGCATTGGTGAAGCATTGGTGAAGCTTGAAGCATTGGTGAAGCATTGGTGAAGCATTGGTAAGCATTGGTGAAGTGAAGCATTGGTGAAGCATGAAGCATTGGTGAAGCATTGGTGAAGCATTGGTGAAGCATTTGAAGCATTGGCGAAGCATTGCTTGAAGCATTGGTGAAGCATTGGTGAAGCATTGGCGAAGCATTGGTGAAGCATTGGTGAAGCATTGGTGAAGCATGCTTGAAGCATTGGTGAAGCATGCTTGAAGCATTGGTGAAGCATTGGTGAAGCATGCTTGAAGCATTGGTGAAGCATTGGTGAAGCATTGGTGAAGCATTTGGTGAAGCATTGGTGAAGCTTTGGTGAAGCTGATATGTAACCAGCAACCAGCAACCGCTGGTTGACCTCGGTGACCTTCGGTGAATCCTCCGTAGGTTTTTCCCAAGGTTTTTATCGAGGCACAAGTAGCGCGTCCCATCGACACTTGCTTAACCAATCCTCGTAAAGTGACCTCCTGACCAGGCTGGGGCGGCTGGGCAGTGTTCCGTTGCATCAAACGATGTGTTTTGATGATGTTGATTGGAGATGTGTATATATATATATTATAAAATACATAAAAGGGAAAAAAAGAAAAAACAAGTTTCAACCTATGTAAACAGTTTCAAAAGAATCGAAACTGATATATAAACCAACAAAAAACAGCTACCCATGCCCAGCTCGCATCCACATCAAGTCCACGTGACAACAGTGCGGTCTGAGGGGCGCCGTCACCATAAACATAGGTTGATGTCCTATATATCTATAAATATATATATATAGCCAAGGCATTATGATCATACATCTGATTGGTTTCAGACTTAAAAAAAATAGTCCTTGGAGGTCATCCTCCTAAATATGGTTGAAAATCAAACATAATTGAAACCATCAACCCAAAAAAATAGTTCTACTGTATTAATTACAAAGCGTTTCATCTGTACATTTACCCTTCGGCAGCTTAACATAGCTATGACAAATGGCCTATTTATTTCGATGATTCACCTACTACAAATGGTGATGTTGCACAGAAATCCGTTAAATCTTCACCACACCATCCCAGTCTGCCAGTCATGAATTCACCCAAGAGTCCCTTCTGTAAATGCATCCAACATCGCTTCCTTGCATCGATCTGGAGATATCTGGAGCTTGGACATCTGCGGAAACATCAAAATTACAGGGATCATTGAGGGAAAAACAGCAGCAACTCTTCAAACTTGGCGAAAATTTCCACTCCAAGTTGATGGCTTATGGCAATGGCAAAGTCATGAATTGCAGTGACCGCTGCTGCCAAGTGACGCATTCTGCGACCTCAACTTGGACAAAATGGGGGTCACGGGGTCACAGCTGGTACGTCTATGCCAGCCTTGAATAGTCCAAACGCGTGCAAACAAGAAATGTTTGACATATGTTCTTCAATTATTTGCCAACAGTAGGAGTTGCAAGCGGCGCATGTAACACATATTATAAATTATAATGCATATTAACTTATGCAAATGAGATTAGCATATATATATATATAGATAGAGTCACCAATCCTCTGCTTTCCAGGACACGGGTGTTGAGAATCGTAAACAGCCACCACAGAGCCTGGGGGAGACAGGACAGCCTCATCCTAGGAATCACAAGTGGAACCTGGGCCCCAAGTGGAACTTCAAGGGTCGTGGTTTCATATCATTCTTGATGATTGATCTTCGGACAAGGGGTCTGATCTCAATGAATGACTCTTTCTGATGGTGGGAGTAGCCAGAAGCCGACTCAGGGAGAGAAGAGAAGTCACTTAAGGATGATTTCTGCACTTGATCTTAGGGTTGAACATAGAACTTCTGTGTGAAACTACCAGCTTTTTCACGATGCCACCTGGAGCAAAAGAGGTTTATGGCGTTATGGCATCCCTGATGCCCATCATGGTTGCACGCATCTGCAACCATCTTCTTCATGTATACTCTTTTACAAGATCGAAAAAAACCACTTTAAATAGCTGGATGTCGTGGATTTATCGCACATCTCTGTCGTATATCTATCCCTCAAGCCATGAAACAAAGACAATAGAGCTCCAAAGGCCAGGGCTACGTCGTAGAAGAAGTAACTGGGCACAGGTTGTGAGGCATGGGATGGAAATGGATGGAACACCGTTAGGCCCAGAGAACAAGCGAGCGTCGTTGATCGAATAAAACATGTGTCATCTTTCAATATCATTCAATCATCCAACGGGTTCTCGAGGTGATCTCAAAATATGTTGTTTAGCAAACATCAGTTTAGAAAGGCTAAGTTGAACACATCAGCATGTTTTGTTTTGCCGGCTCTTTTTTTACAGTAACTTTTTGAAGCGAATCCTGGCCTGTGAAGCCCGGCGTTCTCTTGCATGGCGATGTACTGCAGAATGACATTGGTCATCGACCAACCCACGGCGAGAAGACACGTGAGCATCAACGCCTGAGCTTCTGGCGGAGTTTGGCTCAAGCCATTGCCCAGTTCTAATCCCGCTTCCAACGTGTCATCGGCACGTAGCGAGGCAATTCTTCTCACACAAAGAAGGCGGCCCTTCTTTCATCCAGGTATGGCATATGGAAACCACTTTTTAGCAGCCAATAAAAATAGAAAACCAATGTACTATTATTTTAGTAGCATGTTGCCTCGTTACTTTTTCTCCTCTTTGGGGTTGCTGCACTCTAAAAATCTCAAACAAAATGATAAAATAAAAACTGCATCAGACTCATTGCACCACCCAGGGATATGATATAATTAAATATATATATATATAATATGTATATATATATATACACACACATATATATATATATACATATATATATTCTATATATATATATATTATAGATTATATATGGGAACGGCACGCAAGCCCTCTGGTACCACGCTTGGGCCCGGGACCCCTTGGAACAGCAGCGTCACCATTCGGCTGTCGCAAACACTCGCCTCGGGGGCGACTGTTTAACATCCGCGCCACTTGGGGTGATTTTTAACACAAACCTCAGGGGATTCAACTGATCAATGGGAGATCTCCAGGATCCTAAAATGGAGGTACGTTAGTACCATATTTTTGGCCATATTTTGTGGGGATATTCCCTGAAATTAAGGCCTTATATATGGTGGCCATTTATCAGTTATAACTGGTTATTTCTATGGGATTATACATTCTATAAATGGGGTTTTCTTAGTACTTATAACTGGTATTTGGATGTATTTGGGGCCATAACTGCAAGGAAAAATATAGAGCTTCACCAGCAAAACACCTTGGATGACAGCAAGAAGACCTGGGATGGAAAACCACAAAAACGAAGCAACGAATTGAAAAATCTTCGGCCGGCCCCACCAAATGACCCGGTAATCCAAGCTGGCAATGGAAAATTCATGAAAATTCAGGGTTTGACACCAGAGAGTACAAATAATTGAAACCCTGGCAATGAAATGTGACGTTGCTTGGTGTTTGAGTCACTCCCTCTTTCACAACTCTTGAAACTATGTTAGGATCACTCTCTGTTGGTTGGATTAAAGGGAAAAAAAACAGCAACAGGAAAATGAAAAGGCCCTTCAAAAAAACTACATTGAAATCTATAAAGGAGCAAAGCTCGCCTCGCCAACTGAATTTTCTCTCGAAAATTCACGATGTCGACAGTAAAATTCAACCTTCCCTAAAAACTGATACTGTATAGCCCAGAACTTCCAGCGATGCAACCAACTTTTCAGAGGATATTCAGGAACCTCTCTCGGCCCTGGTGCTTGCAACGAAGTTTTCTTACTGTATAAAAAATACCAAATTTGTCCAACTAATTTGTCCAATAATGACCCAAAGTGTGATATTCCAAAAGCAAAAGTCCGAGGATTTTTCTTAACATGAACCTTCCAAAAAGTAAGGGATTCATGGTTACTCTTTTCTAGATTCTAGAAAAAAGTGTTTTATTTGGTTGGCGTTTTCAATCCACCCCAAGAATGCGCTCGTCATTGTGCATCATCATCCCCTACTGGTTCAAAATAAATTGAACCACCACCAGAAAATTAGAGTACTGTAACTATGTAGCTATCTGTAGCTATCCTTTATCAATATGTTGACCGAATAATATCAACTACTTATCAACCATATGCCCATGTTGATACACCGAGCAACTGAGCAATTCAGCAGTGAAATGCCCGTCACCGTTTTATTTCCGGCCTTGGAAAAGGGGGAACCTGGGCCAGCCTTGGAGGTGTTTTCTATACACAGATATGCCATGGTAATCCATGGTGCACATTAAATCCTATGATATCCTATGTATTTGGTGTGAAATCTCTTTGTTTTCATGATCAAATCTCAATTCAAGCCTTGAGGGCAAAAACCCATGTTTTGATGGTAAAATCCCAAGTTGTGATAGAGAAGAGGAGTTTTTGCTTTGATGGTGAAAAAAAATCTAGTCTTTAGGCCACATATCTCAAGTTTTGAATGTAAAATGCGAAGTTGTGAAGCTAAACTCACAATTTCTGATGCTGAGAATCCGATTGAGCCCAAGTTTGGAAGCTTGGACGGCACATATCCCAAGTCTTAATGGTAGCAACCCATGTTTTGATGGTAAAAATCCATTCCATAAAGGTGTTGATGGCAAAATCCCAAGTTTGGAAGGGATTTTTATCTCGAGTTTGGTAAATCCCATGTCGTGATGGTCAACAATCATAAAGAATCCAAGGATATCCAAGGTACACTCACCACAGATTGTATGTAGGATTGTAGGAATCACAACTTTTCATTGCAACGGCCGCTCGCTTTTTCCATTGTCCCAACAGGTCGAGCCAAGCATCCGCTCGGAGCCATGGAAAGCGAATCTGCCCAACTTCGGCCTCACTTTCTTCGTCTGAATAGCCAGTCTCCTTGGACGCCATGGAACATGTGGCGGATTTAACATGGTTAAACCATCCCAGAATCAGGGTCTACTATGGTTTTCTAGTTTTGAAAACTGGAGTTGAAACATGAAAAATCACGAAATTTAGGTATTGAACAGTGGGAATTATAACAATGAATAGATTGGTCCACCAATCATGAAAACAAGGGGTTGGGCATAGAAAACTGGAGTTATATATTTTCTCGTCTCCACCCTCCTGCTTTCTTTCGGGCCACACTGTCGTCTAGTCTTAAAATTTGTTCCTCCTGGCATGTGTACCACCTCGCCATTTACTCCTCAGGAATTAGGGTTTCACCAGTTTCTCCATCAAAACTTGTGGGTCAAGCATCAAAGAATGAGTATAAACAGGTACAAGCAAGAAAGAAGAGGTATAAGCATAACCAGTGGTAAACCTTTGAGTTTCCGATATAATATGGGTTAGTCCATGTACCATTCAGAAATGGGAAAATAATGCTTTCAACATTTTTCAACCATTGTGCACCCCTTGTAGCGATGACGGGATGACGGGACCTTGCGACAGGCGGTCCAAACCACACCTTTCAACACGTTCATAGAGCCTCAGAATCAATGAATTGATCTTTGTGTAGGGGTACACACTAGACAAAATTTGATCTTTGAAGAGATCCATCAGGAACTGAGTCCTTTAACGTGCAAATTAGACGGGAAACAAATTAACCTAAAACGTATTCGAATAATTGAAGTTCTCCGAAAAGTCCATCGTGACCAGAATCGCCATCAAATAGTATGAACGCCAAACATCGAAGGAATAGTCGAGGTAAATCTCAGACTGCGACAACCGTGTAAAATCGACATTTCAATTTCCAATTGCGACAACCGTGGTGGTTCTTGGGTTAGCCACTGCCCAGTATCACCATGAACTGACAGTGTCTTCGTTGGGCAGTGTCTGTCAGTCACGCACTGCCCCCTGCTTTATTAAAAGGAGAGAAGAAAGAAAAAGAAAAAGGGAGAAGTTTTACATCTATTTAGATGTTACACACACACACACCCGGCCGGAGCCGGGTCAACCCTGAAAGGCAAGAGGAAGGAAAAAGCGGACACAGACGACGGGCAAAAGGCCAGAACAGCGCAGGGGGGGAAGGGAACGAACGGACCTCCAGAACCAACCTACGCGGCGAAACGGACCTGACAAAAACAGAGCACACACCTAAACCCCACGACACATTACGGAGAAGCACAGGGGAAGAATTAGGGACCGGATGGGGGCTAGTTGGTGACGGGCGTGAAACAACCAAAACAATTAATTAATCTAAAAAGGACCCAGTTCCAACTACAACAGGTGTCACGCGTTACTCCCCTTCGGGACCGTAGTCAAGTCGCGCCAAAAGGCATAAACAGCTGTTCAAGTTCCAACGAATTGGGTGCACGATATGTTCAACCTCACCGGAAAACCATAAAAGGCAAAAAACCACACCTGCAAGCGCGTACCTGCCTGGTCAATATTGCATATTGCTATTTAAGTGTCACTTCAAAAGCTGCGCAAATGGAAAAGAAATAGTTTTTGGCTGTTCGAGACGGCTTCACTGTCGTAGAAGTGCATTTACCAAGGTTCACAAGGGACCACAGGAGCGGCAGGATATCGCAAAAAGGCTGATGAATGGAGAGGCCAAATGTTTCGCTTTACTTAAACGAATTACTAATTTAAAAGTGTCAATTCTGATGTCAAGTTCGCCCACAGTCACCGGCAAAGGGGTTGCCTCAAGTGGCTCCATGGCACCATGTCGGAGTCACCATGGATATTACACTAGACAAAATGGGATCTTTGAAGAGATCCATGAGGAACTGAGTCCTTTAACGTGCAAACATATTAACCTAAGAAGTATTCGAATAATTGAAGTTCTCCGAAAAGTCCATCGTGACCAGAATCGCCATCAAATAGTATGAACGCCAAACATCGAAGGAATAGTCGAGGTAAATTTCAGACTGCGACAACCGTGTAAAATCGACATTTCAATTTCCAATTGCGACAACCGTGGTGGTTCTTGGGTTAGCCACTGCCCAGTATCACTACAAACTGACAGTGTCTTCGTTGGGCAGTGTCTGTCAGTCGTGCACTGCCCCCCTGCTTTATTAAAAAGAGAGAAGAAAGAAAAAGAAAAAGGGAGAAATTTTAAATCTATTTAGATGTTACACACACACACGTATGCATATATATGTGTGTGTGCTTGTATGTATGCATGCATGCATGCATGCATGCATGCATGCATGCATGTATGTATGTATGTATGTATGTATGTATGTGTATGTATTGTTATGTATGTTATGTTATGTTATGTTATGTTATCTATTGTTATGTATGTATGTTATGTTCTGTTATGTTACGTTATGTTATGTTATGTTATGGATTGGGTGTATGTATGTATGTATGTATGTATGTATGTATGTATGTATGTATGTATGCATGCATGCATGTATGTATACAATGGGTCATTCTATGTATTTTTCTTGGAACCGGATGTTTGCTTCATGGCCATCAAACCCGTGGGTCGCCCAGATGCCACAGTCACATCGAAGGGTTCGATCTCCGACAAAGGAGCAATCTTGTTCACACTCTTGATGGTGGCCTGAGCAATGTCAACCCCGGAAGAGTTACGCTGCTTATTAGATCTTATTAGCCTCCGGTAAACTAAGACTTTGCGACATTTTGCGACATGGAAAATCACCATTTTGATCGGTAAATGATCGACACATGGGCAATTCTCCATAGTCATGTTAGCTTACTGGAGGGTAAATAAACATATTTGGTCATAACCCCGCAAATAGTGATAATCTGCTAAGCTGCTACTGAAATGGTAAATATTGATCTGTTGAGGGTGACGTTGGGAAAACACGAGGACTCCAGGGACTCCAGGACTTTGATCCAAGGTCCACCGGGGTTGCCAGATGTTGCCAGACCGGTTGCGGGGTTGCCACTACAAATTATATCTCCATAATCCTTCTGTGTTTAAAAATAATGTCCTAATAAAACAATACATGGTTCATCATTAGTCAGGGGAAAAGCCTTCCCATCCCTTCTCTTCCACATTTGGCACGGTCCCAGCAAACCATCATATAGTGCAGCCAAGGTGCGCGAATCAGCTCATCATTGTTGGCATCACGCAATTGGACCGAACCTTTCTTGGACCTGCCCGTTGGTTTTCTGGATGGCACTGTGTCGCATAACCCACCTTCGATTCCCACTTCAGGAGGTACACACTTAAACAAATCATACAAGCATAACAGCATAACATCTATAGTCTATAGTGTGAATATGAGCAGAAATGGAGTCCAAACGGAGGACAAAAAACCATCAATCCTGAATGCAGCAGTGTTAGGAATATGTGCGGTATGGTATAGGCCCCCATAGGCTCCCCAAATTATGGCCATCGTGAGTCCTTTCTGCCACCCGCAACCATCACAAGTAACTCACCCTGCGACATTCATCGCCTCCATCTGGGTCCATGTTTAACCGTTACTGTAGACTTCAGGTTTAAGTCTCTAACTTCTGCTCCGATTCTATTCATTTTATTGGGCTGCCCCTGAAGAGTGAGATTTTTCCCATGGATTTTGCGGCAAATGCAAAGCGCCTGGAAGTATGCGTCGGGACATTCCTCTTTGGAGTTCCTTCTGTCAGCTGCGGGTCTGTACAAATCCGCCCGCTGACCTCAGTGGATCTGCTAGTCAGGGTGGAGGTGCTTCGCTGTGCAGAGAATGGGGCCAAAGTTCTGCATCATACGAACAGTAACAAACATACACATAGAGGATAAAGTAAAAAAACACGTAAAGCACCCGACACTTGGAACATCAAAATATCAATGGTTTCGATGTTCTTAGTGGAGACTTAGCACATCAAGACTTTGTTTTTTGATATACATGGAGCATCCGCAAAACAAATGCCATTTGCGGCCATCTGTTATAAGTGTGTTACTTGGAATCAACCATAAATCTATTCACGCATGTGTTGTTCCTGGCGGAAAATGGGAACTAATGCAGGTTGCATTGAATTTTCATGGGTTTCTCACATGTATATGTGTAGGTTGGTAGAGAATCACTTAGAACATCTATGCAGCCTCCCCATAGCGATGTTCGAGGGAAGCCTTCGCGAGTAAACACCATTGGACCATGTTTCCAAATACTTGCGTTTGTATCTCAAAGCTGTCTACGCAGGCCTACGCCAAGCATGACGTCTCACACACACACACACAACCCGCGCAAGAAAAACACAGCTTCTCTTGTCCGAAGGTTTGCTGAGGAAATTTGAGGAACAGGAAGTCTGGACTCTAGACAACGAAATCCTGCAGCATAAGACTTTCTGAGAGTATCCAGAATGGATTGGAATACAATCATCAACCCAAGAATTTTCCATCGCTTTTCACCTGGCCAAGCTACCTCTTTCTTTCCATCTTCCTGGTGAAAAAACTGGACATCTCAGCAAGGTGATCAAGGACATTTCCCATAATTGACCCATATTTGGGTATCAAACTATATATTTTCCTCGATTTTAAAACTGATCATGAAATGTACGCAACGTAAGAGGAATTGAGCAGAACTTCGTGAAACCTACAAACAATAATGTGATGAAATGGGACGTAATGCAACGTAAAATCACGTAACGTAATGTAATGCAATGCATGCATGCATGTATGTGTGTGCCCTTCATGGCATCAAAATCTTCATGTTGTTCTGTCTCTCTTGGCCGAGATATCATTGTACCAACATCATTGCATTAAATTATGCCAAACGTAATGCGAAGAACAGGATCCCAGTTTGGTCGTTTGCCCATATTTATTGGATCATTAATTGAACGAACATCACCATGCCGTATCACACCATAATACCAACCTCCAAGGTTCGCAATTACAAATCCCACCATTTCTTCTGCCACTCTATCTTCAGATGAAACAACCACCTATGGAATATAAGTATTGATCTACATAATGTTGATTCTATATTATATATATATACATATACTTCAGTTGATATATCCATCACTGTGTTTAGGGAGGTCATAGGCCGGGACTTCGCAGGCTGAGACTGCACTCTGAATTTGTAGCTGAGCCGCGACGTATAGTCACAAAAGGCCGAATGAGAAAACAAAAATACTTCAGCATACCCTATACTGGTTGGTGGTTTTAACCGTCTTGAAAAATATTAGTCAATGGGAAGGATTATCCCATATATTATGGAAAAATAAAAAATGTTCCAAACCACCAAAAAGTGTATATATATATATAGTTAAATGCCCTCTCTCATTGCCATCTATGCCGAATCTATGCCACGCTGCCACATGGCCTTTTTATATGTGCCCACCGTCGTTCCCAGATGTTCCCGGCTCCTGTGAGTTTGGTGGGGAATCACCTGGCGGTGAAATGCTGATTTTATTGCAGACTTTATTGGTAATGATAATCCTGTATATTAGTAAATAATAATAGTACTAACAATACTACTGAATATTACTGATAACTGAATGTTATCATATACATACATATATAGGTTGAAATTTTGATATCTACATAGTGTGCGATAATTTTCGATATTTTTATAATGATCATGTGTGATATTAGCATACATACAAACAATACTACGCATACAAACAAAAATTGCGTAAACATAGTTAAACATATGTATATATTTGTATGTTCTTTTATGCTGCAAGATCGGAAAACATCACTAGAAACAAAAAATACAGTTGCAGGCCCTTTGCCATAGAATATATATATATAATGTGTAAATATATATATATATATATATATGTGTGTATTGATTGATATTGGTTTAAAAAAACAAAAATATGTATGTATATATATATGTAAATATGTAATTAAATATATATTTGTAAATATGTATATATATATACACACATACACATGCAATGATGTACCAATAAAAATATATATCTATCAAACATATGTAAATATTTATTTATGTTTATTTATTTATATCTATGTAAGTACAAATATATATGAATAATATCTATTTATACATATGTACAAGTATGTACACATGCAAATATGTAAATAACAGTATATGTAAATATGTCATACATGTATCATTTTACAAACATATAAATGCATCAATATGTGTATATATGTAAATCTACATATAGGCATATACATGCAAATTATAAATATAAAAAGGGTGTATCTCTTTGTATATTTGTATATATATATATATATGTGTATAAATGCAATATTTGTGAATATGTAGATATGTAAGTCTGTAAATATGTATGTATGTTACTTTATGCATAATATATATCCTATATATATATAGATATGTATGTATGGAATTGTATGTGTATATATATATATTTATTTATGTAAACAAGCGTATATATGCATACCATCCCCAACTAACATGGACCCTGCAAAATAGGGGTTGGAAGACTATTTCTCTAAAAACAAGGGTTCTCTGTGTTTTCTGGGAGGATGGTATAGCTACCTGTAGAGTAGATTGCCTACCAAAAAGATTTCGTGACGGCCCAGGGCTCCATTGGCACCTCCTTGTTCTTCGGACCCAAATTTCAGGCCTGGGTCATCAAATTCGCAGGGAACCACTGGTTCGTTTTTATGCCAGCTTACCTTGTGCAGACTTCAATGTTAATTAAAGGTTTAATTACATGTCAAACGAAGAATCAGACATATCAAGCCATGACGTGTTCAAACCATGGTCATCATGGCAGCCACACCTGGGCCCTCCAAAGAAACCTGTGAAAAAATTGGTGAAGACACAAGGGCACGTGGGTAAAACACAATATATAAAGTAAATGTATATAAATGTATAAGTTGTACTGAACCACCTGAGAATTTTAAGGCTTTAGAGAATTGAATTTCAATAACTTTAAAGTGTACATAGGAAAACATAGCCGTACCCCTCCTCAAATCACCAAACACATCACCGTCATCAGCACCTTCGCTCAAGGTTGTCGTCCCATCCTGCCAAGTTTCCCTTCAACAGGATCTTTCAAATCCGAAACAGCCAACTTGGGGTGCATTTGTGTAAGTTATGCGGATATATGATCGAAGGAAGTTTAGAAGTCAAACTTCCGACAATATGGACAGATGAAAAGCAGAGCAGCCCCAAAAGTGGTCTGACGCTGGTGTGCTTTGTGCATTTTGACTTGGAAATGTGCTTCGAGCCACAACGGCGTGCACTTTTCCGACATCTCAACTTCCAAAAATGGTCCGAGGCTGAGGTGTTTTTTACATTTTGCTTCGCGCCACAATGGCGTGCACCTTTTCATCTCTCATCTGGCCCGCTGGCTCCGCACCCGCCGCTTTAGCGAGCCTACTTTTCGACCCTCCGGAGCCTCAAACCATTGGAAAAACACAGTGTTTCGCGACTTTCCTACCTTTTCGCGCATCTGCATCTTCTTTCTTCTGACTCTTTCTCTTCTCTGATCTTCTCTCTTCTAATTTTTCTGGCAGGCGCAGTACAAAAGACATGTTCATCAGAGATGTTCTAATTTCCTGAGAGGGGTTACATTTTGGAGCATCAGATCTTCAGGTTTGCTGAGATGATTTTGCGTGACAGGTGCAGCACTTCGTATGACCTGGCATCAATTTTTCGTGGCAGGCGCAGTACTTTAGATAGGTGGAGTAGAAAAATCGCACAACGCATTGGTACGAGGCTGTCAGCGCTGCACTCAACTTTCCATTTTTGAAGGAAGTCTCGCAGAATTGTTTTGTTTTTGATGTTGTCAAGTTCAAAAATTGAAGATGTCTCGCAGAATTGTTTCGTTTTGGATGTTGTTAGGATCAAAAATTAAAGAAGTGTCGCAGAATTGTTTTGTTTTTGACGTTGCTAAGTTCGAAAAATGAGAAAGTCTCGCAGAAGAGCTTCGTTTTCAATCTTGCACATAGACAGATAGATAGACAGACAGACAGACAGAGATAGATAGATAGATAAATAGATAGATTTCGCAGTCGTTATGTTCAAACATGAAGGAAGTCTCGCAGAATTTCTTAGTTTTTGATCTTGCAGATAGATAGATAGATCGATAGATAGATAGATAGACAGACAGAGAGATAGAGAAATAGATAGATAGATAGATAGATAGATAGATAGATAGATAGATAGATAGATAGATAGATAGATAGATAGATAGATAGATAGATAGATAGATAGATAGGTAGATAGATAGATAGATCGATAGATAGATAGATAGATAGATAGATAAATAGATAGATAGATAGATGGATGGCTAGACGGACAGATAGATAGATAAATAGATCGATAGATAGATAGATAGATAAATAGATAGATAGATAGATGGCTAGACAGACAGATAGATAGATAGATAAATAGATAGATAGATGGATAGATAGATAAACAAATAGCTAGAAAACTAGACAGCTAGATAGATAGGTAGGTAGATAGATAGATAGATAGATAGGAGATAGATAGACAGACAGATAGATAGATAGGTAGACAGATAGATCAGTAGGTAGGTAGGTAGATAATCAGAGAAAGATAGAGAAACAGAGAAAAAGAGAGAAAGAGAGAGAAAGAGAGGAGACCTCAAGCACCTTTCGGTCCATCAGTGGCTTCGCTCTGCCATCCCTGATTCACAACAACCAACCTCTCTTATAGGTTTCCTATTTTTGAAACTTCCGCCACCGCCTTGTGCGGTACTACTGGTATAAGATTCGATAATCATGAAGATTTTCCCCATAGGTTGGGATATGGGGCCCCTGAGGCCCTATACCTGTAACCATCCAATCTTTTTAAAGAACTCACACATTTCCTCAAACAGTGTGTCCAGACTGAGGGGTTCTTATGGTAGGTGTTAACGGACAGGTGCAGGACATCGGACTTTTTTTTCGTCCGCGTGGCAGGCGTAGCACTTTCTGCAGTGGGTCAAAAAGAGAGGTGGTTTTGGAAGTCATTTTTGATGGTGGGCCAGGTATTTGGTGAGCATGGACCACGTTTTGAAAGGGTCGAAAATCTCGTTTTGTGAAACTGTCGTCTTTTGTCATTCTGGACATGATGAAATTTCTGTGTGGCAGGTGCGGCACTTCGGGCTAATTTTTCGTGGCAGGCGCAATACTTACTTTATAGACCTCGACAAAAAAGTTGCTGAGACCTCGCGTTTGGCATTTTCAATGTTCATTTTTCGTGGTGCGCGCATTTTTTTGTGAAAATCAAACCCGTGCTCGCTCAACCCTCTTGTGGTTATGTGCATGTCGGATCGCTCTCGCTGTGGCGCGGTGCGAATTTTGCCATCGCTCGCGCAAACCTCTCGGCACTTTGTGTGGGTCGGATCGCTCTCGTTGTGGCGCGATATTGCTTTTAGCTGATTCTCTTTGATTCTGGTCTGGTAAAGAAATCTTATGACAGTTTGACAGTTCTCTGGAAGGTCTTTCTATGACGATCTTGCACCTGTTTCATGGTGCAATCTTAGCGGTCCGTAAGACATGAAGATCTTGACCACGGTCTTGTAAGAGGTGCTTGTGAGAAGATATTATATATAATGTTGGCTATCGATTAGTGTGATGGAGCACCATTGTGGGATTTTTCCAAAATAATTCAGTATCCTGTGGGATGGTGGGGGTGGGCCTCTATTGTGGAAAGTTTTTTCTCAGATCCAATTTTTTCCGGGGGAAAAAATGGTCAAAGAAAAACATGATTAATTAATTACCCTTTTCAATAAAATTACTTAATTACTGTAACTTTTGGGTGTTAAAAAAAAACAAAACCCTTTCTCCACCTTTCTTTGGGTAAAGCTGGCACCTTTACTTTAGAAAGCCATATCCATGTCAAAGCTTAAAATGCAAGGTTTTCCAAATAGTATAAATTCTTAGATGCCTTATTAAACCCTTATTAAAAAACAACATCCAGACAATTCTTCAAGGGGGTACCCCACGAGTGGCCCAGATACTCAATAATATAATTGTTTGGATGGTACACTATTGTGCACACCACCTTTTGCGAGTGAAAAAAAAAGAAAAACCCTTTCTCCACCTTTAATTACTTTAGATAGCGTTTCCTATGAGTGACCAAGATCCATAGCTAAGGCTTGATTGGAAATCAATTGAAAGTAAATTGAAAATGAATTGAAATCATTGAAAATAAATTGAAATCAATTAAAACCAATTGAAAATCAATTGGAAATCACTTGAAAGTAAATTGAGATCAATTGGAATTAAATTGAAAGTAATTTGAAATCAATTGGTAATAAATTGAAAGTAAATTGAAATCAATTGGAAATAAATTGAAAGTAAATTGAAACCAATTGAAAGCAAATCGAAAATCAATTGAAAGTCCATTGGTTTCAATTGAAATCCTTACTTAAGTTGACTATCCTAAAATATTGTTGAGGGGGGGTCGTCTAAAAGGATCGTTTATTCAGTAGACGCAAATTGTTGAGGGGGGAGGGGGGCCCTCACACTATTATGAAGATCCTGGTGAAATCCTGCTAAGGGGTCCTTGCGTGTTCTTGCCCAAGGGAAATTGTGAAGATCCTGCTGGGATCCCCCAATAGGCCCGGAGATGTCCTTGCATGATCTTGTGAAGATCCTGGTGAAATCCTCTCTAACAAGTTCTGGCATGATCTTGTACAGGTCCTTGTCAGAAGATCTTGTGGAGATCCTGGTGGCCAAGATCTTGTGAGATCCTCTCCAGCAGCAGCAGGTCCATGCAGGTCCTTTTATGACGAACTCGTGGGATTCTCTTGGAGGTCCTGGCATGAAGATCTTGGTCAAGATCTTTGCCTTGTGAAAAGATCTCGTAAAGGTCCTGGTGGAATCCTCTAAAAGGTCTTTGTATGATCTCGCACAGGTCCTTGTGAGACTACTGCTGCTTGTATCTGGTACACTGGCTTCCTACCCCTCACACTGTTTGGGGCCTTTTGCTGGTGTAATTATTTCCGGGGTGCCTATCATTGCCCGTTCCTATTTAGTTTGGTCAAGTCCTGTGTGTGGCGGTTGTATCCTCCATTTTTGTTGGCTCAGCCATGTCAAGTTTACATCCCTACCGTATATCCGTATCAGTCAAGCATGTCTGCCTTCTCTCAAGAGGTTGATTCAGTTGATGTGAGAGACATCTTGCAAAAGCTAATATGTGTCACAAATTTTGGGGGTGGTGACGCTCGTTGAATTTCCTCAACATGTTGATTTCCTGCATCTGTTCATCTCATTTTCCTCAAACATCTCTTCTTTCCACTGGTCCCCTGAAAGTTTCCCACATTTTCCCGCTATACCCTCTGGTAAACTAACATAACTATGGAAAATCACCATTTTTAATGGGAAAATCAACTATTTCTATAGCCATTTTCCAGTTCGCAAACTGTAAACGTTTACCAGGCCGGGTCAACCAGGGCAAACCCACAGCCATATTTTGCCCTACGCTCCCGCCTCTGGCATCAAGTCTTGGCTGGGGATGGCTGGTAGCAGCGGCCCGGTAACCATCTCCGGCACCACACCAGAGGGCACCTGGAATTTTCCGACGAAAACTCCACCAGTCTGATGACTGGCATGTGGTGATTGAATGCTTGGCATGTGGTGTACAAACTGCTATATGTGGTGATTGATGATTTTGAGCAAGATACTAAAGGTGCAAGATGCGAGAATTCTTCACTTAGCAGGAAGAAATCGAAATGCTGTCTGCCAAAAAAAGATCCGAAGACCCGTGTTCTGCCTCCGGGTGCAGTGGCTTGTTCGCTGGCGCCTGGCCATCACAAGGCCAATCCACAAGATTCTGAAAACAGACCCAAGGGACCATGGTTTGAATTAAACCCATCAGAAAAACATTCTACACACCCACACACACACACACACTCACACATATATATATATATACCATCTGGTTATGACTCACATAGCCATGGAAAATCACCATTTTCAATAGCAAAACCATCTATTTCTATGGTCTATGGGCCATGGCTTCCATGGCTATGTCAAATAACCAGAGTGTGTATATATATATATACACATGTATGTAGTCATTACTTAGTGGGGATCATCATCTACAATTTGCTTGTGAAAAAATATGAGCACCAAGCAGTTCAGCATTCACCACCCCAGATCTGTCCCTAAAAAAGAGGTCATTTTGAATGGAGAGATTCAACATTTGTTCGAGGATCATAGCAACTTGCCTTTCGCCACACCCCATTTCAAGAGACTTAAGTCACACTGGGCATTTATTAATAATAATTCACTGACCTGAATTAAGATACTTAAGGCCACCACTGGGGATGATTTCTCTTATTAACCATGATTCACCATTGAGTCACCAGCCACTGGCACCTGTGGTGTGCCACGCAAGAGCCTGAAGCCAGACGACTGCGAAGTCGGTAGGCTCCTCAGTGGAAGTTAAGCGCAGGAGTCACAAGGCGCTCATTGGAAATTTTGACTTGGAATCTTCGTTTTGGCATCCATATTTAACTACCACTATAAATATATATACCTGGACCTTCAAAAGTTCCATAATATTTGTACGTTTGGACTATTGCACGTTTGGGCCGTTTTGACCGTTCCCCGCCAAAACTGAACGTTCCAAAACAAAATTGAACAGGCTTTTCCACACCATGTCATTATACCACTGAACTTGGGCTAAAAATGTCATACCATGTCATATCATAGCGTCACACAGGTAGCAATGATTGATGCATTGTGACATGCATGCAAATTCGAGTCCCAATCTGATCATACTTTTATCACCAAGTCGAGACTATAATATGAGCCTTTGCTCCCTGTATTGCGCGTATTGTGCATTGAAAGCTTTGGTTGGTAAGCCCACCAAAACAGAAATTGTGTGGAATTATGTCCATTGTTCAAAACAAAAAGTGCAGAAATTGCAAATTGCTTACTTTTGTGGGTTTTTGCGTATTTTTGCGGATTATTTGCGTACTTTTGCGTTTTTTTTGCGTACATTTTGTTTGTGGTTTGGAGCATTTGGGGATCAACAAACTGCAATGTTTACAATACGACGGAAAAAGTTGCATGTATTTTTGTCATTAGGGGCAGGTCGGTGGGACCATGCCTGAATAGTGGGGCGGATGAGCAGGAACAATATATTCTGTGTGTGTGTGCATATGTAGCAAAAAGTTGCAAAACATGTTGGTGTCTCTAATTCATGGAACAGAATTTATTGACCTGACACTCAAGCTAGTTCCACAGGCAATCTTGATTACTCATGTCTAAATGACAACCAAAAGTTCTTGCGCCACTTGATTTCTGAACATTTGATCCAAATGTGCCAATCTGGCATGTTTACAAGATTTGCGCACTGTTTGCGCAGATTTGCGTTCAAAGTTCCAACAGGACAACTAATAATAACTAACTATACGGCCAAACACCTCGTCTTGCCCGTGAACTATACAATACTATACGCACACATATGTATATATATATATACGTGTGTGTATTATATAACTGTACAATACTACACATATATAGATATGATATATATATATATATGTACACCAGTGTGTGTGTGTGTGTGTCCCAAGAAGGTAGGAGAAAAATGTTATATCTAATAATATATATATACATATTTGGAGGGGGGTCGTGACATGATATGCATGGCTCATTTCTTGATACTCTGCCATTAAACTGCCGAACCGAGATTTACCCAAGCAGTGTCCTGTACAATTCCGCCAAGTCTGGGATCAGCTGAAATCACACAAAATCCCAGTACAAGTACTGCCGCATAGGAGTTGCGATCAAGAAAATCCGCAATTGGAAAGTTGAGTTTATCAGAAAATACATGAAAACATAGTATCACAAGTCAATCGGTTTACTATCATCTATCCAACCAGTTAAAATCAAGTCAAAATCAACTTTGTGGGGTGTATATATTATATATATATATTATATATATTATATATATATATCCCCATTTTGAGACATACCCATTTGCCATTTCAAAACCGGCAAAGTACCCAAATCTGAAATCTGGCCGAGAAACTCTCTACTCAGACCCCGCCTCATAGGTGCCTTCCACAGCGAGCAATGCCACGTTTTTCCAAGCTCCCCAGCAGTTCCACACATCTTGATTCTAAGCATCAACTTTCAAACTTAACTTGGTGGTGCCCCCCCAGTTATAGATTGGCTATAAAATGTTATAAACCCATAGAAACTATAGATATATATATCACCTATAAACTAGTTATTACACATCCAAAATGAGAAAATCCACGTGGATTTTCGCGACCTGGCGTTGCTCCGTCTCGCTGTTCAAGCCGGCCACCTGGTTCAGTTTTTACGGCCAACGTTGGGTCCGTTCTCGGCTTAGAAAAGTCCTAAATATGATAAGTGAAGTTGTTGAGTGATGTTGAGTGTCTATTCAACCGAATTCAATCCATTTTCATCCATTTTCTACAGTAGTAAGGCATCCAATAATAATGACTTGACCCATACCATACCCATACCATACCCATACCATACCCAAAACATCCAATGGTGCCATTTATATAACTGGCTGTATCGCAGCCCAGTCGCATGTGGTCTGGAGTCTTGCCGAGAGATGGCAGACAACGAACAATCCTCCGCCCAACTGAAGCCCTGCGCAACTCCGCAGAAAATCAACGGTATGAAAAGGAACGCCCAAAAAAAAACTCCATGGCACCTGGTAATCACAGCTGAAAGTCACCATTTGGGAACATCTATTTGAATCTATTTCTATTCAAATGCAGCCTAACAGGCATGATTGATGCATCCTATGGGCTGATAGCCTCCGACTTTCCTTTGGTGTGTCTTTTCCTTGGGTTTTCTGTTCCTTTGTTTCTCCCAAAACAAAGGAAAAAAAGGAAACCAAGGGAAACCAAAGGAACACCATAGAATCCACCCAGCCCTAAACCAGAGAAAACGTGGAAACCACAGGAAATCAAAGGATACCAAAGAAAAACGAGACAATCTAAGAACTGTTTCCCCCCACGGTCCCACAATTAAAAACCATATTTTCTTGGAAACAAAGCGTTGGAAAGGTTGACACTGGCCCAGTTTTGGCCCGTACCTTGATGGAAATGACCATTTTGGGTAAAAAACATGTCAGGTTGCCCATGGCTTTCCGAACTGGTTCCCTGATGTTCCCTATGGAAAATCATCGAAAAATACCCGGTCTGGTATACTAACAGTTTGCGAACTGGAAAATGGCCATTGAAATAGTGGATTTACCCATTGAAAATGGTGGTTTTCCATAGCAAACTGTTAGTTTACCAGAGGGTAACAGGAGCGAATGACAGGAGCGACTGCCATCCTCTCCCACTGCCTTCGTTCCGGTCTTCTTGGCCGTCTTGAAGAGCTCGCGAGCCAGGCGCGTCTCTAGACTCTTCATGCCCATCCTGAGTCCGTCCAAGTCAGAGGCATGGCTTATTGTAAAATTCTCAGAAATCATCCAAGAATATATGGTTTAATAATGGTTAATATACTTTCATCAGACAAATAAATAATAGATGCAGTTGGTAATTAGATAAATGTTGGTTTAATACTGTTTAATATGGTTGTAAGTTATATACTAAGTTACTAAGAACATCTAAGAATTACCCTTCTTTGGTGGGCCGTCCAAGGATGCCTTGGCTACAGCATGCCTAGATCCCAGGATCCTACATGGCCAACACACCCTTAAATCTGACATGTCATGGAACATCATGGAAGATCCCCCAATTCAGAAAATCCAAAAAACATCAATCATCAAAAAGAATCCTTACCCTCTGGTAAACTAACATAGCTATTGAAAATGGCCATTTATAGTGAGTTTTCCCATTAAAAATGGTGATTTTCCATAGCTATGTTAAATTACCAGAGGGTAAAGATTTTCCATCTCATCCATTTTCCAACGAGTTCCATCCATTTAATATTTCCAACGACAAACGCCCAAAAACCCAACCAGTCAGTCGGTTGATACCCCAAATCCACTGGATTAAATCATCATTGTTTAAATGGAACAAATGGGCACGCAAGGGTATCGGTTGGTGATAGAAAACCAATATAATATGTAATATGTAAATGTAACCCCATATTTAATGGTAAATAAATCACATTAAATTATTGACCTAACACCATATGTATTATAAAGCTTAGAATCAGTTCATGTTTGCTGCCCAAGTGTCTTTTCAAGCTTAGGACTCTTGGACTTCAATTGGTCGCTGGACACCCCTGACGCCCCCGGGCAAAGGGTTGCCTGAAAGTATGGTCATGTATACATCATATATCCAATCATAACTGGAACCACACCCTAAAAGAAGAATTAAGTATAAAACGAACCGTGTTCATGCACTTGGGGGAGGAGAATGCTTGGGGAAGCAGAAACCTTTTGCACACCTTTTGAATCCATGTTTCCTTCTACAGTACACGTCATTTTTTGGGGTTCCAACTGTTATCCTGTCCGCTATACTGCCCCAAACGTATCCATGCTTCAGTCCTTGTAGTCGTCATGGGGCCCCACCCAGAGATGCAAAAAAAAACACATATTTGGCAACGCCAACTCCGGCACTGAATGCCTAAATCCAAGCAAGTCGCATTGGCAATAGGTTCACAAGGATTCTATGACCAATGCCACCAAAATAGGAGGGTCACGCACAATAGAATCATCCAGGTGCGGAGCAAGACCCTGTTCCCCCCTTCAATTCCCATCCCGAAAATAAGTAGAACAATGTTGTGATAATTTAACATTGCAACGATGGCAAAAAACATAATAAAACATATAAACATATATAAACCAACTATATACACATGCAATTGGAAACTGTTCAATTTGTTCTTGGGGATTGCCTTTTTTAGTGCTCAGTTCCGGTGTCCAAAACGGCCCCAGCCATTTCATGGAGCGCCTGCCGACTCATCAATGGACCGGCGCCTTGGAACATCCCTAATATGCACCTCATGATCCTTCCAGAAAAAAAAAAGGCGGGCGTTAAAAAAAAAACGTATGATGTTGCAAGTTATATATATATATATATACATCCGGAAAATGCCTGGGCTTTGCCCGGAGCAGCAATTGGATGTAAAGTCTAACGGGGGTGGGAATTTAGATTCTTCTTCATCTTCCCAATTGAATGTAAAGTTTAATGGGGATGGGAATTTAGATCCTTCTTCATCTTCCCATTTCAATATAAAGTTTAACGGTGGTGAGAAATAAGATCCTTCTTCATCTTCGCACTTGAATGTACAGCTGAAAGGGAATGGGACTTTTGATTCTTCTTCATCTTCCCAATTTAATGTAAAGTTTAACCGAGTTGGGAACTTAGATCATCTTAGATCCTTCTTCATCTTCCCAATGGTGGCCCCTTTGGGCATTGCCGGATCAGCCAATTTCCCAGCCATCACCCCGGTTCCGCGCACGGAGTGTTTACGGGGATCGGCAGGAATATTTCCTGCCGGACCGGTGACTTCCCAACAAGAAGCTATTAAAAATTGCCATTTATAGTGAGTTTTCCCATCAAAAATGGTGATTTTCCATAGTTACGTTAGTTTACCAGAGGGTATGCATTAATGTGGGAACTGCATGGTAGGTTTCATTATTGGGTTTACCATGGTTTACCACATAGCGAGTTTTATCATATGATTCCCTTTTTTGGTTAACAATGAACAATGGGCAAATACTTCTTAGTGGGATATCTAATGGGATATCATGGGATACCATCCGGTCAGGCTATACGTGGCTGGGAAATCCTCACATCGGAAGGCCATCCAATTGAAAGCGGCAAAGAAAGAAGCCGTGGCTAACAATGACAAGAATATACTGCTAACAAAATGACAAGAATCACAATCACAACAAAAATCGATGGCTATATATATATATGATATATATGTGTGATATACATATAATATAATGACAGTAGTCCCCGGTTAAAAAAAATGATAACGCTGGTCCAGCCATTGATCCCTCGTTCCCAAACCAGGTCCCACCAATTGAATCCCCAGGCTCCTCGCCCAAACAGCCATTCCAACCTAGGCAGGTCCCCAAGCTCGTTGACTCATCTCTATAGGGAGGCCAAGTTTCTGAATCGTGAATGTTGAGTTTCTGGGACGTAGTTTCTGAATCTTGAATTTCTTGTTTCTGAATCGGGCAAGCAAAGTTTCTGAATCGTGAATTTGCATTTTCTGAGACGTAGTTTCTGAATCTTGAATTCCTAGTTTCTGAGTCGGGCCAGCACAGTTTCTGAATCGTGAATGTGCAGTTTCCGAGACGTAGTTTCTGAATCTTGAATTTCCAGTTTCTGAATCGTATATATATATATATTGTTTCTGAGACGTAGTTTCTGAATCCTTGGTAGTTTCTGAGACGGTATTTGTTCGGGTAGGATGGGGTGAGGTGGAATGGGGTGGGGATGTTAACGTTCCCTCGACCATGTTCCCTCGACCATGCACAAGATGTTGATGCTATGCTCACATGGGGTGGGGTGGGGATGTTATAGCCTTCCTTCGGCCACGTTGCCTGGACCTTGCGCAAGATATTACATGGGGTGGGGTGGGGTGGGGGCATGCTTACGTTCACCCGACTTTGCACAAGACTTTGATGCTGGATCAGAGGGGTGGGGTGGGATGGGGCGATGATAACGCTCATACAACCTTGCGCAAGATGTTCATGCTGCGCCCAAGATCATCCAATTATCATGGTTTAAGGTGGGGTTTAAGGCGGGGTGGGTGGGTGCTTTTTGCAGCAATTTGCTAGGATGCTGTTAGAGCTGCTTGTTCTAACAAAATTGCAACGGTTTGTTAGGATTCTGTTTGAACTGTTAGTGCAACCAAAAGTGCTGGAACAGTGCATTTTGAACCGATTTCCACTATTATGTTAGAAGACGACGATGATCATACATGATCATACCAATGATGTTGTTGTTGTTGATGATGATGATGATGATGATGATGATGATGATGGTGATGGTGATCGTGATGGTGATGATGATAATGATGATAATGATCCCGTCGAACTCTTCCAGAAGCGGGGGCAAATGGTGGGAGTTGATCGTATTATTACTATATTATACCGTTGGTATCATTAGTATAATCATACCATAATTATGGAATTTTAATCATACCATAAAATATTAGTAATCATACCATAATCATTAGTAATCATACCATCATTAGTATACCATTGGTTTATGGAATTTTATGAAATCATGTTCCCCAGTCACGGCCCCCAGTCACATTCCCCAAACCACATCGCGTCGATCTTCTCGCCGGGCCTTGCACCGAAACCGCCTTTCGCGTCTTGGCGGCCGTCGCAATGGCGTTGTTTCCGTTGCTTCCGTTGCCTCCTGGCACGGCGGATCGCTGGTGCCCTGGCGATGATTTTCAGATATTTCAGGGGCCACATAGCCATGATTTCAAAATATGATTTGGGTATACTGGTACCAGTATTTTTCACAAATATGACATCAATGCTACATGAATTCGTTGTGTTTCTTTCTGAATCATTGTATATTCGTTCCCACTGGGACATTATTTTTTCCAATCTTATTGGCGGTCACTACAACCATGGTTTCAGAATGTTTACCCTCTGGTAAACTAACATAACTATGGAAAATCACCATTTTCAATGGGAAAATCCACTATAAATGGTCATTTTCAATAGCTACTAGTATGTTAAATTACCAGAGGGTAATCAACGAAAACAAGGGGATTGATCAATGGCGCGGCTACGGGGATACCGTGGATGTGGCCGGCCTGTTGCCTGCCACCGCCGCCAATATATCACTCCTCAATTTCAAAACCTCTGAAATTGGCACAAAAGCATACAAAAGCGCTGCTTTTAACATCACAAAATCTTCATTTTCATCTGACATCATCTGACCCATCCTATTTCTGTAGGAACTTCATCTACCCGGCGCCTCGGATAGGCATGTGCGGCACAACCTGAATCTCGAGGGACTGATAGGTGGCTGGCGAAGCCTTCTCTCCTGGCGGAAAGTGAACAACTACGGAAAATCATACTCTTATTGTGATAATTTATGATACCCCCTGGTAAATTAACATAGACCCTGAAAATCACCAATTTTTAATGGAAACTAATCTTCCAACCCCGACAACTGCCAGGGTCATCCAGGGTCTATGTTAACTTACCAGAGGGTAATTTGCTATTTTTTTTACGGTATTGACGATGTTTGTAAATTCCTCAACATTATTAATTGGTGTTAATTATTGCGTTTCCTATCATTAAACGCAAGAAGACCTGCAAGTGAATCTGAACATTCCACACTGATTTGAAGCTTGGAGATGTAACGGGTGCATTTCCTGTGAGTTACAAGTGATAAATATATATGACGAATAGTTATCTATAGTTATAGAGGTTATATCATATCCATGTTTATGGCCATTAACAACTATTCTTTTTTTATAGTGATCACCGTATTCCAGGATATTCCAGGTATTAAACGTTAATTAACCATCAACCATCCATCAACCATCCATTCATATATAACAATTACAAAGCATTCCAGGTATTAACCATCATCAACCATTATAAAGCCATAATATGAATTCGTAGCTATTTTTCTGACCCCAACTGGCTGTCCTGGTTTTGGTGAGCCTGAGCGCCCAGATGAAACATGTACAACATCACCTCAGTGGCCGAAAAAAACCATCCCAGATGCGAACCATGACATATTTTACAACATTTGCCCGAACAAAAAATCACCCAGTCATGTAGGTAAATATAGGTAAATATACCATACATGAAGCATCTGGGCATCAAATTTTGTCAAAAACTGGAAAATTTGACCGAAAATTCGTGTTTGACCATGAAAAATTGAGGAATTCGATGGAATGACCCTCTAACGAAGAAGAGCGATGGAAAATCACCGCTTTTTAGAGGTAAATCAACTAATCAACTAATCAACTATTGGGCTATGTTAGTTCGCCCGAGGTTTCATGACTCAGTTTTTCTATGCAATGTTAATACACATAAACCCTCTGATGAATTATCCGTGAATATGTTTCTGCAGTAAATGCTTCTATAGGATACAGGTGGTATAAACATACGCATATGATGTGGGTCCATCGCCTTTACAGTAAATATCATTGTATATTGACATCCACTAAGGAATTTTGCTGTCCAACAGTTGGAAAAAAATTGGAGTCCAAAGTCCATTGAAATAATCAGTTCGAAAGCTTTCTACAGCAGTCAACTCGCAGCTGCAGTGTCCCTCTGAGCATGACACAGCTGTCTATTATCCTCGCCAGCGAATGTCGTGAAAATCCACTGACTACTCTCTAGTCACTATGGCTTTATGGCTTCATAATGGTTGATGGTTAATACCTGGAATATACCTGGAATACTGTTTTCTTGTATGTTTTTTTGTTAACCCAATGGATGGTTGATGGATGGTTAATGGATGGTTGATGGTTAATATCTTCAGCAAAAAATCCATCGGCCGCTTCCGTCCTCTCTACGGAAGCCACCTGAGCGGCGAAGGCAAAATTCTCGGCTGGGGATACCTAAACAGTAGGATACCATTCAGAATAGGATCCATTTTTGATCCAATTCAGCTCCATTGGTTCATATTCAAAATGATCCATTGGTTCATTGTATTATAATATATCATAATGATGTTGATTTCTCACTATATTAATCTATATTAATCATTATTAATCTACTATTTATCCAAAAAAACAGGAGTCCAAGTGAAAAAAAATGCTTAGGCAAAGCCCAAAAAAATCCCACTGCAACAAATGGTCCACTTTGCGTTGGATCCATTTGCATTCATCTGTATCCCTTAGGGCCTGAGGGGTCAACTCCTGCAATGATCATCCCCTCTGTAGCCAATGACATGCCCACCATTCAAAAGGGGCCATTGGGGCAGCAGGCTGCAGCTTGTCGTCCCAGCTTCGGTCAACTAGTCTGCTGAGGACTGAAATCTTCCAATTCTGCGGATATCAAAAGGAACAAACCCCGGGTAAACATGCAGGGATAATCGGGCTGTCTTTTCAAAGGATGGACAATTTAAAGAGAAATCAATGGATACATACCCATCATATCCCGTGTTTGTTCTTCCCTCTATAGTTATATCCCGCGTTAAGTGTTGTCTAATCCCCATATCATCCCCCTATATTATCCTAATCCTATCCCAAATTACCATAAATTACCCACATGTCTGGCTTAAATCCGCCATGTTTGGGCGATATTCTCATCGGTCGGCCGCATCATGAGGCATCCAAGGAACCGAGACGGTCGGCTTGGGTTTATCTAAGAGGCTGTTCATGCTCCGCGGGCTCCTGACATTTCCCATCATTTCCCACCCAAATCATCCCAAATCGGGTTCCGCAATTGAGGTCGGTACGATGAGGTACAGGATGTTTTATTCGGATCATTGCGATGATTTCTAGTTATTATATAGGTCTGATTCCAAAAAGCCGAAAGCCGGGTGTTCAAGCAACACGGGGATGTAACCAACAGAATTGACCCGGAAAAACGGGAACTAAACCCAGAAAGATTTGCATCTAGCTAGCCATTCTAGCCAATCGCAAACACGCAATGTAATATTTACAGTATCTACTCTGATGCGAACAGCATGGCTTTAAGCTTTAAGACCGGAAAGTCACTGGGTTCTTACCGCTTGGCGCTTGGCCCTATATTTGTTTTAATGGATTTGTGCATTGATGCATATATTATATAATGCATAAAAACTGTATAGTAATATACATGTATATATAATATACACAAATATTTACATATTATATATATATATATTCTTAATTATGGTCTTATATTGGCCTACGGCATGCGACCACTGAAATGTTAGCCACAAAGTTCTGCTAAATCGATCGTAGCTATGAATTACATAATCATCAATGGCCAGGTTTTGAGTAATCAGCGTACCCACCCATGTGCACAGTGAAAGTTTCATGATTTCCAATTCTAAATGGTTATATAATGTTATATCTACAAGGTTCAATATAACATAACATAATATAATATAATATAACATAATATAATATTATATATCTAAATTGTAGTTAGCCTAGTTGCAACATGTTGCAATTGATAATATATGTTTCATGAACTAACTATTGATTATTGCCAATCTTGAATGGCCTCGACACAACTGGGTCCCGCACACCGCCCCGCTCATGGGACCATTCAAACAGCTGCTCCCCTGTCGCTGAGATGGTATAGATCTCCGCCATTGAAAAACATGGGAACTGATAGGAACTAATAGGAACAATGAGGTTTGTATCAATTTGTTTCTCAATTTGGCAGGTGATGTTTTGCTGGAGATATCAACATCCCATCTGTGGCACCAGCCATGGCCAAGGTATAGAAAAACACAATAGCTAAGCCGCTAAGCGAGACGCATCACTACCGTTATAGTCATCTGGGAATCTGGTCGATATATCAACCAAGCAAATCACTATAGTAAGTATAGGTCCCTCACACTCTGGTAACTTGACATAACTATGGAAAACCATCATGTTTAGTAGGCAAATCATCTATCAGGGGGCCATGTTCGTCCATTTTCCATAGCTACGTTAAATTACCAGAGGATACATAACATAATACGTCCTCATCACTACAATATACCGTATCGGATGGGATACACTATGAATATATAAATATCCTACAATCCTACAATACTCCGTGCATATATAATGATTCACCAAATCACTGTAATGAACCCACAAGTATGATAGAATAGGGTAAAAACAAAAATATTTAGTATACATATATATATATATGTGTGGGATATATGGTATATAGATAATATCTATATAGTATATATATATATTTGCTCTCTCTCTCTATATATATATACTATATATATACATATATATGTATATGGTGTGTATATATATACATAGTAAATATACTGTTCCAATGACCAAAGGTTCCACGCTAATGGCAGTCTCATCTTCTCTCGGCACCTCTGTGACAGAGGCGTCCAAAGCCTGCATTTCCATCCTGTCGGGTCACCCCGGTCAACCCCGGTCACCCTGCCCCAAGCTCCATCGAGTTATCGACTGGTAACTATTCTATGAAATATCCCATTAACCACTAACCATTATTAGCCTATAAATATATTGTTAACCACATATTCATCATAGTGATTACCATTATATAACCATAGGGGTCGTAATGCTTGTACCTCAACTGATGTTGTTTTCGTTGTTTAACCTGATTATACCAAGTATATGCCCATCATATCCCGATGACATCCCGAAAAATGCCTTTGATTTTGGGCTTGGGTCACGTGGCCTGTCAAGGAAGTTTGACATCTTTAGGGTCACCTCGGAAGACGTCGCAGGGCGGCAGGGCGGGGCCTAGGACCTAGGAGGCAAATGGAGTGTTTGTTGGAGATCTTAAACCCCAGTCACATCTATATAATACCTTGGAAATGTGGAGATTAGATGAGATTAGCAGATTAGCACAACTATGCATAACTAACATCCTCGCCAATATCTTGGCAAAGACTTTTCGATCTTTTTGAAGGTTACTGTAAGGGGAAGTTTGCAAGCCGCCCCAAGATTTCGGGGGGAAACCATAGTCAATAGTTCCCCCCCAGATTTTCTTGTAAATTATCTCAATAAAACATGGTTTCAGAGTCATGTTGTAGCAAAAACAATGTTCTTTACTGTAATGAAAACCGTGGTACCCCGTAGAAATGATATAGTTTCATGCAATTTCTGGGCCTGTCGTCATAAATACCAAAAATTATCGTTTGCGAATGACGCTAACTAAGCATTTGTACAAAATACAAATATATCGCAATGATGGGGATATGGAAGTGTGGCAACGCGTTCCATATCAACCAAATCTTGTCCAATGATGACTCCGATAGCGGCTCCATCCCGGCTCAAAAGGGTCTATAGCTGGTTGAACATGGCAACAAATGGCTATAGAAAATATTATCTACACGCTACAGTTGATGGGTATTAACGAACCCAATGACTAGAATAACAATGGCTACAATGCACTGGCTATGCAATATTGCCCATCTGCCATTTTTTTTAACGATGTTCTTTCTTCACAAAGATATACATACACCCATATAATCCCATACATAATATATATATATATTATGTGTATTTATTTATCTATTCTATATTTATTGATGTAGTTGTATCATATTAAACAAAAAACATTATGCCCCGCAGCCGTTGCATGCCATTGGCGCTTCACTGTAGCCAGGGTGCCACCGACAGCTTTTGCAATGTGGCGGCCGTTGCGTCTCCTCCGGATGTCAACGAGAGTCCACGAGGGAGTGGCCGCCATGGGAATTTAGACTCAATAATTCAAGTAATTGGTGGTTTCAACCCCTCTGAAAAATATTTGTCAAATGGGATTATTGTTCCCAATATATGGAAAAATAAAAAATGTACCAAACCACCAACCAGTCAATTATAGTTGATGACAGGAGTTTATAGGTAAGTTGATGAATCGTTGATTTTGATGCATTTTGTCGCAGTTTGTCTTAGTTACCTAGTTTGCGGGGCTGATAGTTGGTTTCAAGGGGCTATGGCAGTTGGTGCATGGAGATTCTTGAATGGAAACAACCCTCACCGCCCACTTAGCTGCTTTTCACACACTTACAGCGCGCAGGGCGGGCCTTTAAAAAAATGACAAAAACTACACACTTAGAATTAGAAGGCCTACTCCTAGATATATCTTAAGTAAGTCCTAAGTAGCATTGACCCAGATCGTTAGTATAATCAGCTTCGATTGTTTAATATCAATATGGGTTTGTTCAAAAATGGAACCCTGATCCAATGTTTATCGTCTTCACATTCCCTACGTAGATACCCCTACTAATATGGGATGTATTTGGGGCGCACACTGTTTCTAGACAAAACCATATTTTGCTGTTGGCTATCTGTCTATCTATCTATCTATCTATCTATCTATCTATCTATCTAATTATCTATCTATACATCCTAGTCTAATATGTCAAAACCAGATAAGATATATTTTGGCGTTTTGGCAAGCATATCCAAAATACAGATTATGAATTAATCTCTTCAAATCCATCAATATCCGCAATATCCCCAATATACGTAATACGCAATATATATATATATAGAGAGATACAATTTAATAGTGCACATATGCACATATAATACATATATAATATATAATACATATATAATACATATATAATATATAATACATATATAATACATATATATATAATTATATGTATATGTATATGTATACATATTCATACAGGTTATGATTTGACCAGTCCTGACTCCTCCGATCGTTCAAACATGACAGTCACCGCTCAAAGCCAAGCATCTGAGAGCTGATGGGAGGAGCTCATGGATGCTATCCCTCACCTCATGGCGTGCAGCGGTGTATTGGGGTGCTGGTTGGAACATTTCAACCATGTTATTTGTATTATATTTACTATTATTATTATTATTATATTTACTGTTATTATATTTACTATTATTATATATATATATATGCAAAATATGTATATGTACGTATATTTATGTGTATGTTCGTGCCTGCATACATGTGTGTATGTGCGTGTGTGCACGCGCATCTTTAGTGATCTATATGCTTAATTACCATGCCAACAATACCGATTTGTTCAAGGAAAATGCGCAACCAGCGCTGCCCAGTGACTGCAGAGCTCAATCTTTCCGCCAGCAGCAGGGTTTCATCGGTTTCTGAATTATCCTGGCAAATGCGAAAACCATTCAGAGATCCTAACCGAATCCATTCACGGCAAAAACATCGAGGAATTCGCAATCCAAACTGGGAAAGAAATGGCAGGCTCGTTGGCTGGAACAGTTCATATACCACGCCTACGGTTGCAGGAGTGAGGCTTGGGCGTTCGTCATTGCTCTTTGGTGGTTGTCTGTTGGGTCTCTTGAATTTGTCAACGCACATCTGCCCAAGAAAAAATGCCCAGTTCTCTTTGGCCATTGCATCTGAATGATATCCCCACATTGATCTGCCATTTGGATCCATTTGGTTTAAAAGCATCAATCCAAATCAGAAGAAAAATTGCCAGCAAGTTTGCAAGTGATATTAGTGATATCCATTTCAAAATCCAGTCATGTGGTAAAGCGAATAATAGATTTTGAAATGGATATTAGTGATATTCGCTTTACCACATGGATATCATTTTTCAAAATCTAGTCATTAGTGATATCCATTTCACAATCCCCAAGTCATCACCATTTTTATGGATGGTCTGTTTACCATCCCCAACTGCTAGGTTTATGGCATTGGGTTGCCCACTGGACCCGGGTCCACCTCAGGCACTTTCCAGGACAATGCCTCGGATAGGGATATCTTGAGATTATTGTGGTCAATCTCATTAGTCTGTCAATGCCTATCTAATTAGTCTGTCAATCTATCTATCTATCTATCTAATTACAGTCAGTGCCAGAATTATAGAACGGAGCCAGGAGGACAAAAGTACGGTAAAATACCGTACCTTTGTCCTCCTCCGGGTTCCGATTCGGAGCGGAGTCGGGAAATTTAATTATAGAACGGGGAGGAGGACAAAAGTACGGTATTTTACCGTACTTTTGTCCTCCTGGCTCCGTTCTATAATTTCTGGCACTGACATGATATTTACTGCATATTTGTACATATACAATCTATAAAATGAAGATTTAATGAGGATTTGATGAGGAAATGAAGATAAAATGATGATAAAATGAGGTTTTGATGAGATAACGAGGATAAAATGAGGATAACATGAGGATAATGGGAAATGTGGGAAAAATTGGGGAAAACAGAATTATAGAACAACAGGGTACGGTAAATAACCGTACCTTCGTACTCCTCAACTTCCGTTCTATAATTCTGTTTTCCCCCATTTTTCCCACATATACCAGGTGTTTTTCTTAGATTTCATGGTGCTTTTATAAGATTTCATGGTGATTTTATGGGATTTCATGATAGTTTTATGGGATTTCACGGTGATTTTCTTAGATTTCATGGTGATTTTATAGGATTTCTGGGACCCCGGAAGAGGTTCTATAATTCTATAATTATTTTTTCCGTTCGACGGAAAAATTAATTATAGAACGGGGCCCGGGGAAAATTAATTATAGAACGAAAATGGGAAATGTGAGAAAAATGGGGGAAAACAGAATTATAGAACAACAGCGCTCCGACAAGAATTATAGAACGACGAAAAAAAATTAGGAGGAAGATCAGATACATTTTTTTTTCATACCTTCCGAGGAAAACAGAATTATAGAACAACAGGGTACGGTAAATAACCGTACCTTCGTCCTCCTCAACTTCCGTTCTATAATTCTGATTTCCCCCATTTTTCTCACATTTCCCATTTTCGTTCTATAATTATTTTTTCCGTTCTATAATTAATTTTTCCGTTCTATAATTAATTTTTCCGTTCGACGGAAAAATTAATTATAGAACGGGGCCCGGGGAAAATTAATTATAGAACGAAAATGGGAAATGTGAGAAAAATGGGGGAAAACAGAATTATAGAACAACAGCGCTCCAACAAGAATTATAGAACGACGAAAAAAATTAGGAGGAAGATCAGATACATTTTTTTTTCATACCTTCCGAGGAAAACAGAATTATAGAACAACAGGGTACGGTAAATAACCGTACCTTCGTCCTCCTCAACTTCCGTTCTATAATTCCGGCACTGACCATAACCTATCTATCTATCTATTAACCTATCTATCTATCTTTCTATCTTTCTATCTTTCTATCTACCTATCTAATTAACCTATCTATCTATCGATCGATATATCTATCAATCTATCCATCTAATCTATCTAATCTAGCTAATCTATCTTATCTATTTAATCTATCTAATCTATCTAATCTATCCAATATATCTATCTATCTAATCTCTCTAATCTATCCAAAATCTATCTAATCTATCCAATCTATCTAATCTATCTAATCTATCTAATCTAATCTAATCTAATCTATCTATCTACCTATCTACCTATCTATCTATCTATCTATAAATCTATCTAATTAACCTATCTATCTATCTATCTATCTTTCTATCTTTCTATCTACCTATCTAATTAACCTATCTATCTATCGATCGATCAATCTATCAATCTATCTATCCATCTAATCTATCTAATCTAGCTAGTCTATCTTATCTATTTAATCTATCTGATCTATCTAATCTAACTAATCTATCTATCTATCTAATCTCTATTCTATCCAATCTATCTAATCTATCTAGTCTATCCAATCTATCTAATCTATCTAATCTATCTAATCTAATCTTATCTAATCTAATCTAATCTATCTATCTATCTACCTATCTATCTATCTATCTAATCTAATCTAATCTAATCTAATCTAATCTATCTAATCTATCTATCTATCTGTCTAATCTGTCTAATCTGTCTAATCTATCTAATCTATCTATCTATATATACCTATCTATCTAATTCTCTATCTTTCTAATTATCTATGTATATGAATCTATATATCTAATCTATCTACCTATCTATCTATCGATCTATCTCTCTATCTATCCATCCATCTATCTATCTATCTAATCTATCTATCACTATATATCTATCTATCTATCTGTCTATCTATCTATCTATCTACCTATCTATCTATCTATCTATCTACCTATCCACCTAAGTAACCTATCTATCTATCTATCGATCTATCTATATATCTATCCATCTAATCTATCTATCTATCTATCTAACTATCTAATTAACCTAACAATCTATCTATCCATCCGATCTATCTAATCTATCTAATCTATCTAATCTGTCTAATCTGTCTAATCTATCTAATCTATCTAATCTATCTAATCTATCTAATCTATCTCATCTATCTATCTATCTATCTATCTATCTGTCTGTGCATCTGTCTGTGTATCTGTCTGTGCATCTGTCTGTGTATCTGTCTGTCTATCTATCTATCTATCTATCCATCTATCCATTTAGCCAACTATCCATCTAATCCATCTAATCTATCTAATCTATCTAATCTATCTAATCTAACTAATCTATCCAATCTATCTAATCTATCTAATCTATCTAATCTATCTAATCTATCTAATCTAACTAATCTATCCAATCTATCTAATCTATCTAATCTATCTAATCTATCTAATATATCTATCCATCCATCCATCTATCTATCTATCTAATTAACCTAACAATCTATCTATCTATCTATCTATCTATCTATCTATCTATCTATCTAATCTATCTAATCTATCTAATCTATCTAATCTATCTAATCTATCTAATCTATCTAATCTATCTATCTATCTATCTATCTATCTATCCATCTAATCTATCTATCTATCTATCTATCTATCTATCTATAAATCTATCTATCTATCTATCTATCTATCTATCTATCTATCTATCTAATCTATCTATCTATCTATCTAATCTATCTAATCTACCTAATCTATCTAATCTATCTAATCTATCTAATCTATCTAATCTATCTAATCTATTTAATCTATCTATCTATCTGTATATCTATCCATCTAATCTACTAATCTATCTATCTATCTATCTACCTATCTATCTGTCTGTGTATCTGTCTGTGTATCTGTCTGTGTATCTGTCTGTCTGTCTGTCTGTCTATCTATCTATCTATCTATCTATCTATTTAATCTATCTATATATCTTTCCAATCTGTCTAATCTATCTAATCTATCGAATCTATCTATCTATCTACCTATCTATATATCTATCCTTCTATCTTTCCACGCGTGTGTGTGTGTGTGTGTGTGCTCATTTCTTTACACACACACACACATTTATTTATATATATATATATGTGTGTGAATAAAAATGTATTTACATATGTACATATATTTGTATATACGTATATACGTCGCATCTAATTATATGTATATATATATATGTGTGTGTGTGTAAAGCAGTTCACCAACAAGAGTGGAAAACATAGAAAATCTCTTGGACATCTTGAAAATATCTAAAAATATGAAAAATATAGGGGAACAACAGCAAACTACCATGTTCGAATCACTGGCTGCTATCTTTTGTGGGGCTGCTATGTATACTGCATGTATTTATAGATATAATATACATATGTGAATATGAAATGTATGTGGGTGTGTCCCATCTATGTTTATCATGTCCATCTATAATGCTGTTTGTCGTCGATGCTTCCAATAGATGGAATCTAATTAGTCACAAGTAGACATATTATTCTCTCTCTTTCTCTCTCTTTCTCTCTCTCTCTCTCTCTGGGCGTAGCCGTCCATCCGACTTCCTATTTTTCATCCTCATTGTGAATGCCACAGTGCACCCCTCAAAGGCAGCCAAACACGTCTGGGTTGGTAACATCACCAACTACAAACCATGATGGTACATCATGCATCGGCATATGTTTATTTATTTATGTCTATATGTGTTTAAATATATTTATGTATAGAGAGAGAGAGAGATCGCAGGTGAAATGGTCCGATTTCATGGTGGTTTTTACACCCAACCAACCAGCAGCGTCGCTGGCCTTTTGCGCCTTGGCTTTCGGAGAGACATCACAGCTGGCCATGGTCAGTAGTTGCTGTGGCCAGCTGCGCCCTCTGTCAGCGTTAAGATCTAATGCGTGACTTGCTGTTTTCTGATTTTTCAAAACCCCATGAGTCTCAAACAAAAACACCATAAACGCCAAGGCGTTCAAATGTACTGCCTTCCACTGATGTGTTCTGCATCTATTGTGCCAGTTGAGTCCCCTCTGCTGTGCTGCCGAATCTGGAATCGAGCCGAGGTCTGCGTGGTCAGGACTCCAATGCCAATCCGGTCATCAACCCGGTCGCAATGTTACCATCTGGTTATGACTCACATAGCCATGGAAAATCACCATTTTTAATAGCTAAACCATCTATTTCTATGGGTCATCTATACCATGGCTATGTTCAATAACCAGAGGGTAGGTTTTGATGATGTCGGTGATTTTCCAATCTCATGTTTGAGTACTGGGGGTATCTGGAGCTCAAAATCTCCGGGTTGAACCATTTTTGACCTGTGAGCACCATGCGTAGAGTTTTGAAATTAGCACAAGCAAAGGCCTCCTGAATATATTGAAAAGAATATGAAATAGTAAAACATAATAGAACCAGCAGCTATACAATTCCAGAGTTTTGGAAGTGTATGTCGAACGTATGTCAACCAACGACCAAGATCCAGTAGTTAAAGACTCCTTAGAAGAGTTTTGGTAGCACTGTTCAACACACTCCGGCCAAGTTAATTCAAGTCAAGTTCAATTTCTGCGATTCATAGTTCAACACTCTATCTATCGGGGTGTCCCTTATTCTTATATATGCTTATGGGGTACCACCGGTTTAAATCCGTTTGATGCAATGGTTTAAGACCTCAGTGTCCATCTATTCCCCATGATTCTTCAGTGGCTCCGCAGCCTCGAGATTGATCACCTGACCCAGCCCCTGCCTGACGGCGGACGATGGGCTCACAATGCTTTGGTAATTTTGGTGATGGTTGATGATGCTTGTTTTCATGTCTTTTTGTGTGTTTTTTTCTTAGTACCGGCATGTTCCTTCGAAACTAAGGCCTATAAGCCATTGATTAAAACTGTAACTTCACACTAAGCATATGACTTCACAGCATATGACTATATATATTTAAATTTATATATATATGTGTGTGTGTATCCTGGCATCTCTCTATAAAACATGTTAAATGGATGATCCTCGTGCGCTGTTGATCGCTATTGGTTCAGCACCCACTGTCTGTAGGTATCGATTTTTCGTGCAATCCTTACCTGATTCCACCAGTTCAAAAGAGCCTTGCCCAAAACAAACACTGATAGAACTCAGAAAACCTGAAATGGGGAAAACACAAACTCCAATAAAACACCTTGCATATAGCAATCTCACTTGGGGAATGATGTTACCTATTGGCATTCACCTGAAAAAATGTGAACAGTTATTATTTACTGCAAATGGTGTTTCTATGAACAGAAACTAATGGTGAAACCCAAATGCTCACCATCTATTTCTACCCACCCCAATGCTCCACATAAAACATGTTGCAACAAAAATCTCCAAGTGAAACAGTCATTTTTACGGTAAATATACCAGCACTATCAAACATATGTAGGGGGGCTAGTTCTCGGTCTAGAGTATAGCTGCCATGTGGAATCATGTAGGTAGGCATACATGAAGCAAAATGCACAATACGTTCACATGATTTCGTTTTCATTGGTCAATCAAAAATGTCACGTAAAATCTACATTGTCTGGGCAAATTATAGTAATTCACTAATCTGAATTAAGGCTATTTGGGGATGATTCCCCTTACTAACCATGATTTCCAGTCAGGTCGTAGTGAGGTCGTTATAATTTACCCAGCTACATGATACAATATACACATATTTTTTCTGCTGCCAAGGCACGAGGAAGAAAGCTGCAGGTTCTGAAGAAAAGAATAAACAAAAATAAAGCAAATCTTCCATGAGTGCCCGTTAGGCACCTCCAGGTGTCCAAAAGGAAAATTAAACTGTCTATCAGGGCCCCACTACGAACCACTATTAACCCACTATTAACCCACTATTAACCTACTATTAACCACTATTAGCCCACTATTAACCTACTATTAATCACTATTAACCCACTATTAACCACTATCAACCCATTAACCCACTATGAACCACTATCAACCCACTATTAACCCACTATTAACCCACTAGTAACCTACTATTAACCACTATTAGCCCACTATTAACCCACTATTAACACACTACTAACCCACTTTTGACCACTATTAGCCCACTATTAACCCACTATTAACCCACTATTAACCCACTATTAACCACTATCAACCCACTATTAACCACTATTAACCCACGATCAACCCACGATCAACCCACTATTAACCACTATTAACCCACTATTAACCCACTATTAACCCACTATTAACCCACTATTAACCACTATTAACCCACTATTAACCCACTATTAAACCCACTATTAACCACTATTAACCCACTATTAACCACTATTAACCCACTATTGACCACTATTAACCAAGTATTAACCCACTATTAACCACTATTAACCCACTATTAACCCACTATTAGCCCACTTTTGACCACTATTAACCCACTATTAACCCACTATTAGCCCACTATTAACAACTATTAACCCACTATTAACCCACTATTAACCCACTATTAACCCACTATTAACCCACTTTAGCCCACTATCAACCCACTATTAACCCACTATTAACACACTTTTGGCCACTATTAATTAACCCACTATTAACCCACTTTTGACCACTTTTGACCACTATTAACCCACTATTAACCCACTTTTGACCACTATTAACCCACTATTAACCCACTATTAACCCACTTTTGACCACTATTAACCTACTATTAACCCACTATTAACCCACTTTTGAACACTATTAACCCACTATTAACCCACTATTAACCCACTATTAACCCACTTTTGACCACTATTAACCCATTTAACCCACTATTAACCCACTTCTGACCACTATTAACCCACTATTAACCCACTTTGACCACTATTAACCCACTATTAACCCACTTTTGACCACTATTAACCCACTATTAACCCACTATTAACCCACGATTTTAGCCCACTATCAACCACTATTAACCCACTATTAACCCACTTTTGACCACTATTAACCCACTATTAACCCACTTTTGACCACTATTAACCCACTATTAACCCACTTTTGACCACTATTAGCCCACTATTAACCCACTTTTGACCACTATTAACCCACTATTAACCCACTTTTGACCACTATTAACCCACTATTAACCCACTTTTGACCACTATTAACCCACTATTAACCAACTTTTGACAACTATTAGCCCACTAGTAACCCACTTTTGACCACTATTAACCCACTATTAACCCACTTTTGACCACTATTAACCAACTTTTGACCACTATTAACCCACTTTTGACAACTATTAACCCACTATTAACCCACTTTTGACCACTATTAACCCACTATTAACCCACTTTTGACCACTATTAACCCACTATTAACCCACTTTTGACCACTATTAACCCACTATTAACCCACTATTAGCCCACTTGTGACCACTATTAACCCACTATTAACCCACTATTAGCACACTTTTGACCACTATTAACCCACTATTAGCCCACTATTAGCACACTTTTGACCACTATTAACCCACTATTAACCCACTATTAGCCCACTATTAGCCCACTATTAACCCACTTTTGACCACTATTAACCCACTATTAACCCACTATTAGCCCACTTTTGACCACTATTAACCCACTATTAACCCACTATTAGCCCACTTTTGACCACTATTAACCCACTATTAACCCACTATTAGCCCACTTTTGACCACTATTAACCCACTATTAACCCACTATTAGCCCACTTTTGACCACTATTAACCCACTATTAGCCCACTTTAACCCACTGACCACTATTAACCCACTATTAACCCACTATTAACCCACTTTTGCCCACTATCAACCCACTATTAACCCACTATTAACACACTTTTGGCCACTATTAATTAACCCACTATTAACCCACTTTTGACCACTTTTGACCACTATTAACCCACTATTAACCCACTTTTGACCACTATTAACCCACTATTAACCCACTATTAACCCACTTTTGACCACTATTAACCTACTATTAACCCACTATTAACCCACTTTTGAACACTATTAACCCACTATTAACCCACTATTAACCCACTTTTGACCACTATTAACCCATTTAACCCACTATTAACCCACTTCTGACCACTATTAACCCACTATTAACCCACTATTAACCCACGTTTGACCACTATTAACCCACTATTAACCCACTTTTGACCACTATTAACCCACTATTAACCCACTATTAACCCACTATTAGCCCACTTTTGACCACTATTAACCCACTATTAACCCACTATTAGCCCACTTTTGACCACTATTAACCCACTATTAACCCACTATTAGCCCACTTTTGACCACTATTAACCCACTATTAACCCACTATTAGCCCACTTTTGACCACTATTAACCCACTATTAACCCACTATTAGCCAACTTTTGACCACTATTAACCCACTATTAACCCACTATTAGCCCACTTTTGACCACTATTAACCCACTATTAACCCACTATTAGCCCACTTTTGACCACTATTAGCCCACTTTTGACCACTATTAACCCACTATTAACCCACTATTAGCCCACTTTTTTTGACCACTATTAACCCACTATTAACCCACTATTAGCCCACTTTTGACCACTATTAACCCACTATTAACCCACTATTAGCCCACTTTTGACCACTATTAACCCACTATTAACCCACTATTAGCCCACTATTAACCCACTATTAGCCAACTTTTGACCACTATTAACCCACTATTAACCCACTATTAACCCACTATTAGCCCACTTTTGACCACTATTAACCCACTATTAACCCACTATTAGCCCACTTTTGACCACTATTAACCCACTATTAACCCACTATTAGCCCACTTTTGACCACTAT